CGCGTGCCCGGCCGCTCTCGGTGAGCACGCAGTGCGCATGCCCTTCTTCCTCGTCCCGCTCCTCGCTCACAGCCGGGCCTCCAGGTCTCTCTCGCTGGGCACTCAGTGCGCATGCTTGACCCTCCGACCTACCCCCCACCCAACCAGACCCCAGGGAGCACGCACCGTGCTTGTTCGCACCTCCTAGGCCCCAGGGTTGCCTCCTCCGCCCGAGCCGCAGCCCAAAGAAGCCCCAGGGTACAAAAACCTGGCGCGGGGCGGCCCCCACACCCTGTCCCCGCCCCCACACCAGGTCGAACACACCCGCTGGCCCCACCGAAGGCTCCCGGCAGAATCCCCGCGGCCTGCTGTCTCCGCCGGAGCGGAGGCGTGCGTGCCGGCGTGCAGCGACCTGCGCCGCCGCGATGACGTCACGCGTCGCGGTGACGCGCGACGTAGGCGCCCTTCTGTGGGCGCGCGGCTGGCGCGGCCGTTTTGAAGCTGCTTTGCGTTGCGCGCGCTCTCCCGGGGCCGCCTCAGCCCGTACCACCGCGTCTGTGCGATCCCCGAGGCGCCAGTGCCGCCTCGTCCCGACCGCTGACCCCCGTCAGGCCGGCCGCCGCCTCCTGCCGGACTCGGGGCTGCGGGTCCCCACCTGAGCCCGGCCGGCGCCGCCTGCACCCGAGACCCGCCACCTGAGCCCGGCCGGCGCCGCCTGCACCCGGGATCCGGGATCCGCGACCCAGCCCGGCCGGCGCCGCCTGCACCCGGGCTCGCCGCCCCGCGGCGGCTGTGCCCTGCATCCGCGCGGTCCCCGGCGTGAGGAACGGGGCGCCCCGGGAGGCGGGGCGGAGCTTCGGAGATGCCACCCGGCAAAGCGCTGCAGCCCGTGCTGAAGATGAAGGTGGACGAGCTGTTCCTGCGCTGGCTCAGCGAGGCCGGCACGCAGGCCATGCTGCGGGACTGTCTCCAGCGCATCCGGGCGCCCGGGCGCGCCGACGGCGGCGGTGGCGACGCGGGGCGGCCCGGGCCCCCGCCCGCGGCCCCTGCCCCGGCCCCCGCGACGCCCGCGCTGCCCCTGGGAGCCGCCTGCAGCCCCAGGCACGGGCCGAACGTCCGCGGGACTCGCAGGTCGGCGGGGCCGAGAGGAGTAAGTTGCTCTTCCTTCCGCTAACGGCTGCCCAGGGCCAGGTAACTCGGGGCGCGGGCGCGTGGCAGGCGCGGAGGAGGCCGGTGGTGGCCACGCCAAGCGCGAAGCGCTGGCGCATGTTGTCTGTCAATTCCCCTCACCCCGCCCCAGAAAGACGGTTCTGCCTGCTGAAAAAAAATTAACCACTGGTGGAGTCCACTCGGGCCGTAAATTTGAGTTTGTTTCCAGTGGTTTGAGGGTTTTCTTTAGTTTCAGAGATGTGTGTGTGGTTCCTCTCGTTCGTGCGTTCCTGGATTGCTTCTTGTATGCATCCTGATCGGGAGAAACTCACAACGTGGCCTGTTGGGACGACGCTGGGATCCCATGAGCACCTGAGCGTGGCGGTTTCAGCTGTCATTTGTCCACATTTGGACAGAGGGTGGCCAACAAGGCGCCTTCTGCCATTTGGTGCAGGGTCCGCCTAGCAAGACGTGGCCTCCAGGTGTCATAGGAAAACGTGCGGTTGGACCCCGTCCTCTACCTGCAGCACTGCCGGGGAAGTTGCTGTTACTCCTTTAATTCTCAGGGGGCAGGTGTCTGTGCGCAGCCTTGAGCGTGTCATGAACGGATTCCCCTCAGCCTCCCAGGGTCCACCCCAAAATGCAGCCGTCACTCGGGGGAGAGCGGCAGGTGGTCCATCAAAGGCAGGCCGCTTGCCTCGGAGTTACCCACGGTCTTCTGTGGCTCTGAACCTTCTCTGGAAAGGAGGTGCCCCCGGAGAACAGACCGTGGAGCTGGAGGCAGCTTCGCAGGCCCCCAGGCGTAGCCCCTGAGAAGCCCAGAAGGAGGCCTGTCGCGGCCCCAGCCCTGGTCATGCCCGTTCCACGGGACCGTCGCGGAGCTGTGACCGGGGGCCGCGTCCCCCCGGACGGCCTAGGAGCCCCGTCGTGCCAGGCTGTGTGACCCGGCCGGGTCAGCAGGCTTCCTCTGGTGCCGGCAGCATCGTCCCCCCCGCGCCGACCCCTGCCGGCTCGCGGCACCGAGCTGAACCGCTCACGTCTTCTGGACTGACCCCCCCACGGGGCCCCTCGCGGGGCTCCTGTGACAAAGCCCCGCAGCCTCCAGGGTCGGTTCTTGCGTTTCGTGCTCCGTGGCCGAGTCCGCGTAGCAGCGGAGACGCGGGCCAGGCACAGGTCAGCTCTGCGCGAGGAGGCAGCGGGCGCCGCAGGCCCGGGTCCCGGTCTGCGAGTCCACGGTCCGGCCAGGGGTCCCGGGCCGGCGCAGGGACGGGCCTCCCGCCTGGGGGTGGCGCAGCACGTGCTGTGAGGCGCAGTCTGTCCGGGCTGCCTGGGCTTCGGTGGAGCGGCCGACAGGCCCCCCAGGACCGGGAGGGCGGCCCGGGGTGCTCCTGCCTCCAGCAGCCAGGCACCAGGGGAAGGGAGGTGCTCGCGCAGGGGAGACGGAAGGGGGTGCAGGGGGTGCCCCCGGGAAGGGGGTTCAGAGGGGGATCGCGGTGCTCAGGCTGGAGGCAGAGCAGGGGAGCAGGAGCCGGCCGACGCCGCGTTGGCTGGGGTCTGAGTCCCGGGCTTTGGTGGGGCAACACCTCCGTGCCTGTGCCGAGAGGGAGGTGGGCCGGTAGGGGACGCGTGGCTGGCCGTCCAAGCTCCGGACCAGCATCCCTCCTCCGGGGATGCAGGGGAGGAGGGAGGAGGAGGGCCCCTTCGCAGAGGGGCCCGTCGTGGGCAGGACGGGGCCCGTCCGAGGCGAGTGCCTGGCCTTCCCGCTGCTTGTGTGGCTCCAGCCCTGCGCCCAGGGTCGCCTGAATGCCGCCCGCCCCCCCGCGGAGCCGGGTGGCCGCCTGCCTGCGGTGCCTGGGAGCCCGCGGGAGGGGCCGCTCCGGCACCCTCACCGCCCCCGCCCCCGCTCCCGGGTCACCCAGCACCCCTCCTCCGCCCCGCTCCTGGCTACGGACCGCGCCCCCCACCCCTGTCTGGGGAGAAGTTCCAGGGGTTGCCCCCTGCGTCCTGGGCGGCACGCCGGGGGTCCGAGGAGGGTGGACCTGGGCAGAGACGGGGCAGCAGCGGGAGCCCCGAGGGCGCAGCCCTGACAAGAGCCTGAGGAAGGAGTGCGGTCAGGTGGTGCGGGGCCCTGAGGCACCCAAGGGAGAGGGACTCCCGCCTCAGCCTGTCCTCTTCGCCCCCATCTCGGGGACGGGCGGGCGGGCGGGGACGAAGGGGGCCGCCTGCCGTGGAGCTGCTGGGAGGACTCCGCACCGGCACGGCGGGGACCGTCCCTGCTCGCAGCCCACAGCCGGGCACGGGTACCGCTGGGGGCTCCGTGGGGTGCGGGCTGCGCTGTAGGTCCACCAGAGCAGTGTCTGTGCGGGTGCCCTGGCCTCGCCCCCCCAGCACGGGAACAGGGGGCGCGGCCGGGGAGGCCACGGACCGGTGCTGCCTGCAACCCTGAAGCTCCCGCAGAGGAAAAGGCCTCGACCGGTGGGACAGCAAGGGCGGGGAGACACTGGCTCTCGGGGCCGTGTCCTTGTGAGGCCGGCGCCGAGCTGAGGGCACCGACGTCCTTGAGTCCCGGGGCGGGGGGGCCACAGGAGCTGGCGATCCCTCTGCGTGTGGCGCTGTGCCCGGCAGGCCCTGGACGCTGGGTGATAAACCGGGGCCTGGGGAGGCGCAGGGACGAGGAGAGCCCGCCCTCGGGGGAGCGTCACGGGGGGCGGGCGGGGTGCTCCCCGGGGTGGGGCGGAGGGGGCGGGGGGGCGCCGCCACGGCTGGGGCCCTGAGTTGCACAGGTCATGACGGTTTCGGGGTGGGGACCCCAGACGGGGCCCTGGGGGCATCAGGAGCACGTGGTGAGGCGCTGCCTGGTGGGCGCCGGCCCCACGCGTTCCCAGGAGTCGGCCACCGCACGGCTGTCCCTCCCGTCCTGGAGGACGTCGTCCGGCTGGCCCGTGGTCCCTGGCCTGTGCCCACGCCCCGCCGGCGCCCGCGCGCCCGCACCCAGCGTCCGGGAGGCCTGCCGCCCCAGCAGGGCCCGCGGTGCGTCTCAGGCAGGGCCCCTCCCAGCGTCTCTGTGGACGGGACTGGAAGTCCCATCGGTGCCCTGTGTCCTCTCCTCTGTCCCACGCCCTTTGGTGTTCGGGGTCCTTGTCACGGGTGTGGGCTGTGGCCCGGGGTTGTGCTCTGGGAGAACCGCGTCAGTGCTGGGAGACGTGCCCCTCGAAACCCCCAGGTGGGACCTCCTGGGGCTCTGGGGGCGCCTGGGCTGCGAACTGGCACCTGGGCCTGACCCCTGCCGCCCCCCACCTGCCTCACAGTCGGTAGATCCCTTTCCACGGCATCCGCATCCCCTGCGGGGGCCGGTGGGGTGGGCTGCAGCACCCCCCGCCCTGCGACCCTGCCTGCGCACCTCCCGGGGCTGGGCAGACAGCCGGAGCCTGCCCTGGGGGCCGAGCCCCACGTGGTCCGCCCGGCGGCGGGCGGGGCGGGGCTGGCTGACCCTCTGCCGAGCCTGCGGGGAGGGAGCAGCTGCTCCCGTCCTGGGCCAGGGCAGACACACAGGGCAGGGCGCGCGCGCCGGGAGGCCTGCCTGCTGCTGGACGGCCTTCCCTCCTCTGGAGCGCGCCTTTGTCCCCTCCCTCCGGACAGCTCGCAGGCGGTGTCCCCAGGTCCTCCGTCCGGCCGCCCTGCTCTCTCAGTCCCCTCGTGCCCTGGGCGGGCTGAGCCGCCGACGGTCGCCTGCCCCGAGCCCAGCGCCGCCCTGCGCCCCTGCCGCCGGCAGCGCAGAGTGGGGCCGGGACACCAGCTTCAGGAGCCGCGGCCTCGGGCGCCCGCCCGCCGAGCTCCCCGCTCCGCTGCTGCTGCCGCCGCCCCGCGGGCCCTGCCTCCCCCACCCTCCAGCCATGTGCCCGCCTCAGCCTGTGGCCTGCGAGCGGCCCCGGGCCGGCCCCCACAGCGCCCGCCCGGCCGCGCATGGAGCGCGCTGAGCCCGGCCACCCTCACGGTCCCGCCCGGCACCGCGGTCGCCTCGAGCCCCCCGGCCCGGCCCGGCCCCGCGAGCCCGGGCCCCGGTGGCCCATGCGCGCGGACATGCGGCTCAGGGAGCTGTCCCTGCGCCAGGACCCCGACCTGCGGCAGGAGCTGGCCTCGCTGGCCCGCGGCTGTGACTTCGTGCTGCCCTCCCGGTTCAAGAAGCGGCTGAAGGCCTTCCAGCAGGTGCACGTCTGCGCGTCCTTCCCCCGCGCCCGCCGCGTGTCTGTGGCGGGTCCCCCCCTGGTCCCTCGCCCGTCCCCGGTGAGGTCGCGCCCGCGGGAGGGGGCTGTTGTCACTCCTCGGGCCTCCCCGCCCGGCAGCAGCTCGGGTCTGGGGTGGCGCGGGCTGGGGAGGTTGGCCGGGGCGAGTTCCCTCTGAAAAGAGCGGCGCCCGCTGTCCCGTGGTGCGGCGACGGGTCCTACGCCGGGCGCGCCCCGCGGCTGCGGGCGGCCGCTTTGCCCGTTCCCGGGGGCGTGAGCTGCCCGTGCACCGCGGGGCTCGGCGTTTGTGGGCGCCCCGGGCAGCCCTCCCTGGGACATTGGCGTGCACGCACGTGTGTGAGATAGAGCCCAGTTGCTGCGGCGGGCGGTGCCCCGCGGCCGCCGTGTGGTTTTTACGGGGACCTGTCGGGACAGTCACACCCTGTGCGACCCAGGGGTGCCTCTCAGGGACCGCTCGGCGCTTGAGGGCCCGGCGACCCCCCGACGTGCTCGGGCAGGTGACGCAGTCTCCCCGTCTGCGCGTCGTGTGTGTCTCGGGTTCGTTGGGCACGACCGCAGACAGCGTGCGTGTGGGGCTTCGCGTGACATCTGAGAGCCCTTCAGGGCGGTTCTCCCTGAGGCCACGTCCCCCCCACCGCTCCCCCCGACCCCGTCTGTGCTCGGGCTGGGGCAGGGGCGGGCGCACGACACGGCCCCCGCCCTTCCGAAGGCCCTGCCTGCTGCTTTCCGGGCTCGGACGCGCGCCACGCCTGGTTTTTCTCTGCGTGGTAACATCACGTTGTGGCCTGGACACAACGTGACGCCAGACCTGACCGTCCTGCTTGGGGGAAACAGACGCTTCCCCCCTGCCGGCGCGTGCGTGGGCGTTTTTCCTGCACTGCCTTTCAGCGTCGGCGCAGCTTCTGGGTTCGCTCGTCCGTCCCGGCCGCATCCTTGCGGCGCTGGCTGCTGGCGGGTCCGGGCTGTGCGACGCCCCTGCTCTCGAGGGAGCGTGTGCTCACGCGCGCCCGCGTCGGGGACCTTCGACGTGCGTGCCCGTCCCCAGCGGAGGGGGACGGGAGGGGCGGCCGCCCTGCGGGGTGCCGTGGTCGTGGGGGGCTGTGTCGCGTCCTTCCCGTTCGCCTCCGCCGCCGCGTGTGGCCCGGCCCCCGAGTGTGCTCGGCGGCGGGACGGCCGTCCAGCCAGCACGTTCGCCCCGGGGACGTGGAGCCCGTGCGTCCCTGCGGCGGGACGTCCTCGTCCCCACAGAGCCCGCGGGTGCCCGGCACTTTCAGGACGCGGCGTGTGTGTTGTGTGACGTGAGGGCACCCTCAGGCCGGGCCCGAACGAGGGGGTTTCTGTCCGGGAGGCGGGAGCCCTGCCTCAGTGTGTCCCCCGGCGGTGTGTCCGCGCGTGGCTGGCCCGGCCTCGGTGAGGTGCCCGGAGGGCGCGTGGGTCCGGCAGGGCCCACGGGGCGGGTCATGGGCGCGGGTGGCAGGCGACCGCAGGGCGGGAGGTCCAGTGGGGCCTTGGGCCACGGCCGCTCGCTCGGGATTGTCCTGTCCGAGGTCGCGGGCTCGGCGGGTTGCCGTGCGGGGCCCGGGGCGCCCTGGGCACGGCCCGTCAGTGGCACCGCCCGCCTCCTGGCCCCTGGCCCCGCCGGCTCCCCGCACACACGCAGCAAGGGGGCGCCTCGCCCAAGGACACGCTGGAGGGTTCTGGGGAGAGCGGGGGCGGGAGGGCGGGACATCGCTGAGAGAGAGAAGTGGCGACCTGTGGCCTCTCGTACGCGCCGTGACCGGGCATGGAACCCACGGCCTTGTGGCGTCAGCACGGGGGCTCCCACCCACTGCGCCGCTTGGCCAGGGCGCGGGCCGAGGGCCTGCAGAGAAGCCTTTGCCGGGGCCTGCTTTCCCGTCCTCATTCCCGGCCCCCGAGAGACGTGGGCCGTTCACGCCACAGGGTCGTCCAGGGACGGGTCGGCCCGGGGCGTGCGGGGCCCCGGGAGCCCAGGGCAGAGCCCGGGAGCAGGCTCGCCCGCAGCCCTCGTGCCCTGGGGCCGTGCGGCACGGCTGGGCCCCACGGCGCCGCGGGTCCTCGTCTCGGGGGGCGTCCGCCCGGGGCCCCCGCGTTTCCCGGCCCGCGCCGGCGCAGGTGTGCTGGCCACGGGGCCCTGCCTGTGCCGTGGCGGCCGCCGCGGCCTGGCCTGTGCAGTTGGGTGGGCCCGGGTCACCCCAAGTCCCGCACGGGCCCCCGAGCACTCGGAGCCGGGCCCTCCCAGGCTCGGGTCCGGAGCAGCGTGTCCGAAGGCACCGCCTCGGCCGCTCTCCCGCGGAACCTACCTGCGCTCCTGGGCGGCCGCCCGCGCACGCACGGAGCTGGCTTTGTGCGGAGGCGTGTTTTCCACCGGCTTGGGCACGTGTGCCAGCAGCACTGCGTGTTCTGGGCGGCCCACAGGCATCCCTGCGATTCCTGGAATGGGGATGGGCCAGAAATAGCTCTCTGTCGGGGAGGGGGGTCAGGGAGGGCGGCAGCGGGGTCGTCGCCCTGGCGACGCGTCAGGGAGCCAGCCTGGCCCGGAGGAGGGCCGAGCCGTGGCGCCCGGCACCTGCTCTGCTGTCCCTCGCAGGGCCCGAGTCCGGCTCGCACACGAGCTTGCCGGTTGCGTGGCCGTCGCCGACATCCCCCGGCCACTCGCGGTCAGGAAACGCCGTTTGTGGAGGATGCCGCGCCCCGAGCCCGCGGCCCAGCCCGGCAGGCGGCCAGCCCCGACCGGGGGAAGAACGTGTTCCGCAGCTGTGCCCGGACGGGTCTATTTATGTCCCGGAGATCAGGCCTGCAAATCCCCCGTGTCCGCACCGGCCTGCGTTCTTTCTCGTCCCGGCCGCTCTGCGGGGGCTGCGGGGGACGCTGGGCTCGGCCGCCACGCGTGCCCGGCTTCGGCGTGTCCACCTGTGCCTGCTCCCGGGGCTCGCGCCCTGCGGCTGCCCCGTGGACACAGTAACTCCCTCCCCAGCTTGGGGGGGGTCGCACGCCCTTCCGTACTGGGAAATCCCGTGAATTAAAACCGTACTTCACGTGCCTGGCACTGTCGCCTGGCCCGCGGCTGCGGAACACGGGGGGGCTCCCGTCGCGTGGGGAGGCTGGACACACCGCGTGCAGGTGTCCTGAGCCCCCGGGACCGGCGGTGCCCGCGGGGAGGGCCCTGTGTCCGGCCGCCCTGGCCTCGTCCTCGCTGCCGTTCAGCGGCTCTGTCTCTGTCTGTGTTAAGAAAACGTCCGTGCCCACCTCCTCATGTGTGTCTGACAAATAAACCTGACATTTTTCAGTCTGGTCTTTGTTTTTCACCCAAGGATCTTTACCCATTTACATTCAGTATCGCTCTTCAGCCGTTGGGATTGATTTTCAGTCTCATCTCCTGTTTATTTTCCCCTCGGCTTCCTCGTCTCCTTTCTCTGGTCTCCTCCTCGAGTCTGCAGGGCACCCTTTCTCCCAGCTTCTGCGCACCCCTGGCGTGGGAGCCATGCACTCCCTCGGCGTGCGGAGTCCCTGTCCTCCCCCGCCCCGCCCCCGCCCCGCCCTCTGCACGCTGCTGCTGGTGTCCCGCCCGGCCGGGCTGGACGGGGCAGCGCGGGCCCTCGCAGCTCCAGAGGCTGGGTGTGCGCATTTGGTCTCCTGGGCACCGTGGTGCTGGGGGGGTCGGGCGGCGGGCGGTCCTGGCCTTCGGTGGGCGCTGCCCGGGGACCCGTGTGGGCCGTGAGAGCCCAGGGGCGTGGGCGCCCCTCCGTGCAGACACACCGTGCGCGTCCGCGGTGCTGTGTCCCTCGGCTGTGGCCCGCATGCGTCCCCTGCCAGGTCCCGTCCACCCTGTCTCGCCCGTGGGACCGTCTCCCGAGGCCTGGCCGTGCCTGGCCCCGGCCCGCAGAGCCCGTGTGCGGCGAGCTTCGCACCCCTGCCGGGGGGTGAGCCTCCCCCACGCCACCTCCCGCACGCGCGGCCCGCCTCCGCCGCCATCGGACTTCAGCCCTGGGGCCGGCACTTCCCGCCAGGATGCGGGCAGCTCCCGCCTTGTCCGCTGTGGCCTCCGCCCCCGGCCTCCCAGAGCGCCTGCCGGTGTCTTCGCAACAGATGCGTGGGGGCGAGAGCGAGCTGTGACCCGTCCACACCGCAGGGGGGACCGGCCCCGACCAGAGCAGCCACAGCCGGGCGGCCTGACCTCGCGGGGGCCCCGGGGCAGGTCTGCACAGGGCTGTGCAGTCCCCGCAGCTGGACGCGCCCCCCCGCCACCCCGGAGCGCCGGCCGCGAGGAGTCCCGTCCACCCCGGGGCCGGCGGCTCCGCACACGGCCGTGCGCCCAGCACACGTGCTCATGCACAACACGCTCGCGTCCGGGGCCTAACCAAGCCGTCTCCTGTGCTGCTCCCCAGGTCCAGGCCCGGAAGGAGGAGCCCCGGCCGCCGGCCTCCAGCCAAAGCATTCCAGCCTTCTACTTCCCCCGCGGCCGGCCGCAGGGCGCGGGGGACACCGACGCCGTCATCGCCCGGATCGAGCGGGCCTTCGCCCAGTTCCCGCACGAGAGGGCCACCATGGAGGACATGGGCGCCGTGGCCAAGGTGGGCGTGCGCGGCCCGGCCGGGCGTGCGCATTGCGTGCATCCGTGCCCGAGAGTCCCGCGCGCGCACGCGGGGCCTCTTGTTCAGTCCTGTGCCGCGTGTCGGGGGACAGGCGCGCCGCGGCCGCCTCCCAGGTCGGCGTGTGCGGGCCCCCGCGTCCCCGGGGAGCCCTGGGGCGTCCCGCCGGCCCCTCCGTGCCCCCAGGGCCCACGCGCCTCCCTGCCCGCCTGGCGCTTGTGGCCGGTGAGTCAGGACCGCGTGTGCAGCTGGGACTTCAACTCGCGAGGGGCTGCTTCCTCCTCGGCTGGGCGTCACGGTGACCCCTGTGGACATGTCCAGGCGCAGCACGGTCCCTTCAGCGGGGCGTGTTGTCCGGGGGCCCCAACGCCCACCCCGGTGGACCCCCCCGTCCCGCGCGACGGCTGCGCCCGCCCCGGCCCCTGTGGCCCCGGCGCTGCCTCCGTGCCCTGTCCCCCGGCTTCCCCGTCCGCCCCTCCCCGAGGACGCCTCTCCGTGCCCGCGGCCGCCCGCCCGCCCCGGGGCCAGCAGCCCCACGGGCTCCCCTCCGCGCGCGCTTTCCGGTGCCGCCCTGCGCGGCTCCTTCCCTTTCCTCGTTCTCGAGGGACGGCCTTCGCAGGCCCCGTGCCCACGAGGGGCGTGATGGTGGGACGATGGGGCACAGGCTGCGGAAGGTGCCCCCCGAGCCCCCTCCACCGGCCCAACGGCCTCTGAGCTGCGGGTGCTCGGCCCCTCCCCTCCCTGCGCCGGGGACGCGGCCCACCCTTCGGCCCCCCGTCAGTCCTGACGATGCTTCCCCTGGAAAGTGTTGATTCGACCTCCACGTACGCAGTTGTAAAGCCTTGCTGCCATCTGCACGTGGGACCGTTTTCCCGGGGCCACGTCTCTGTGCGTCGCCGCAGCCGCGGGCGCAGGAGGCGACGCTGCTGTCTGGCACCGTCAGCGCCCGCTCAGGTCCTGGCAGCGCCCGCCCTGCCCTCTGGACACCGCGCCGCGGCCGTGAGCGGTGAGCAGGCAGAGGGCAGGGGTGGGGGCGGCGGCCGCCCTCACCTGCTGGGCGCGGGACTGCACGGCCCTCTCTGGGTTGGTGCCGACCCCCCGCGGGTCCTGGTCCCTGCTTGCCACGCGCCTGCCGTCCCGGCCTGCTCCCGTCCACGTGGCATGACCACAGCGCTGTCCCCGTCCCAGGGAGTTCCCGTGCGTGGGACACGGTCCCAGTGCCACGTGTCCTGTGCAGCGAGGTGGACGCCCGGGGTCCCATTGTGCGGGCCGGGCTGTGTTTCCGGGTGGACTTAGGCGTCAGGGTGCTGTAGGGCTGCGGGGTGTGGGTGTGGGTGTGGGTGTGGGCGTGGGTGTGGGTGTGGAACAGCGTGTCTTCCTGTGGAGGGCCTCACGCAGCTGACGCCACGCGTGCGGCTCGCTCCTGCAGTCTGGAGGGTCGTGGGCGCCCGCGCGTGCGGGGCCGCGCTCAGCGGTGTCCATCGCACACGGCGCGGCCCCTCCTCGGGCGCCCGCCCTCCCGCGCCCCGTGCCTCCGCATCCCCAGGCCCATCGGGGACTCGACTCCAACCCCCGCGCCGCAGCCTGGGTGTTGGCCCGGGGCGCAGGTGCACGCGGGGAAGCGGCCCCTCCCAGGACAGGTCATCCAGCCGACGGCGCAGCATCGGGCCCCTGGTTGGAGTTGTCACCGCGTCCTCAGCGCTGCGCTCGGCTCCCCCGGCAGGCCTCGTCCCCGCGTCCCAGGCCGTGCGTCCCCGCGGCGTTGGAGATGCTGGCGGCGACGTGGCTTTACCCGAAGTCGGCAGCACTCCCTGCAGGGCGCCCACTGCTGCTGCTGCTGCCCGCGGCGCCCGACGGCATGTCTTCCGAGCGCGCCGGCCTCCGGGGCTGGACCCCGCGCTCGGGCGGACGAGCGCGTGTCAGCGACTCCTCCGTGGTCCGTGGCGAGGCCTGCGTGTCTCGCAGCCGCACCTTCCCGCTGGCTGCCGCCTCTCACGGGCTGCTGAGCTCAGCAGGGAAGCTATTTGGGGCTTGGGGGGGGGGGCGGGGGGCCTGTCACCTGCTCAGCGCCTCCCGATGACAAGTTGTTTACAGTCCTGGGGGAGGGAGCCCGGAGCCTCTGGCCTGGCTCTGGAGCCGCGTCCAGTTTTCGTGAGAGGCCCGGCCTCAGGGTCTCTCCGTGGCACTGCCCCTTCTCCCACTCTGGTCTCCTTCCTTTATTCTCACCCACTCTGTCCACAAGGTTTTGTTTTTCTTTTCCAAGCAGCAGTGTTCAGTTTCAGTGGCTTTTCCCTACTGATTGTCTGTTATGCTGATTCCGAAGCTTTTCTGGGTCAGCTGCTCTTTCCCGCGGACACGGGGTTCGCGCCCTCTCCCTCCAGCCCCCCCACCCCGGGCAGCTGCGCCCGCCATCCGTGTCCCCTCCGCGCGCGTGCAGTGCACGCGGCCCTGGTGCCTCCTCACGTCCTTCCGCAGCCCCACGGTCCTGCAGGTCCTGTTGGGTCTCCGGTGCGCGCAGGCGCGGGAAGGGCGCTCAGAGCTCGCAGCCTGGCCGTTCGTTGTGGGACCGAACGCTCAGTTCAACAAGGGCTCAGTTCAGCGTGTGTCAGGAGCGGAGGACGGTCCAGCTCGGTGTGCGCGCCCGAGGCGGGCAGGTGTGCCCGACTCCCGGGGGCGTCTGCAGAGGTTCGCTGCGGTTCTCGGCGGTGTGCGCGCGCCGGAGAGGGTCCCCGACTTGCCGGGCTGAGGGTAGAAGCTGCACAGTGGGTCAGCCTTCCTTCCTAGCGCAGGTCCGAACGCCTGGGCGCCCGCCCTGGCCACCTGCGCGGTGCACGGTGTGACGTGGCGGTCACGGCCGCGGTATTCTGCAACGTGCACGGCCCTCGTCTCCCTGGCGGGTTATCAGCCGCTGCTCCGTGTCCAGAGTCGCGGGCGTGCTGCTGGCCCGTGTCCTGCTCCGGCGCCCGGCGGGGGCACAGGGGCCACAGGCTCACACGCAGCGCCCTGTGTGCAGGCCTGCGGCTGCCCGCTGTACTGGAAGGGGCCCCTCTTCTGCTGCGCCGGCGGGGAGCGCACCGGCTCTGTCTCTGTCCACAAGTTCGTCGCCATGTGGAGAAAGTGAGTTCTGGGCCAGGCGGGGGCGGGGGCAGGGATCCCGGGTGACCCCGCAGTCACAGCTCGTCCTGCGGGGCCCCCCTTTACGCCCCACATGGTGGAGCCCCGCCCTGGGTGTGGGCGGGCGGGCGGGCGGTGTGGACGGTCCGGCCTGAGCAGCGGGTGGTGGCGCCTTGTGCCCCCAGGATCCTGCAGAACTGCCACGACGACGCGGCCCGCTTCGTCCACCTGCTCATGAGCCCCGGTTGCAACTACCTGGTGCAGGAGGACTTCGTGCCCTTCCTGCAGGTGCGCCCACCGCAGCCCCGCACACCCCTCCCCGCCCCTGCCCCGTCCCGGTGCAGTGCAGCGGGGACGCCGCCCACAGGCCGGCCCTGCGGCCCCGCCTTTGGGTGCTGCCAGCCCCAGAGCTGGCTCAGCGAGCGGCCTCCGCTCGGAGTGCGGACGGCACACGGGCCTGTCCCTCCAGGCCGTGCCCGGCACACGCGCCCTGGCATGGGGACGTGTGGTTTTACGTCAGCAGGTGCCTGCGACTGTGCCCAGGCGCCGTGTGGCGTGGCGCGCCGCAGCCCCTGGGATGGGGAGGCACGGTGCTGGGCAGGGTGGAGCACGTGGAGGTCCTCCCGTGGCCCCTCGCGCGCCCAGCTGGGCCCCGTCTCCCACGCAGGATGTGGTGAACAGCCACCCCGGCCTGGCCTTCCTGAAGGAGGCGGCGGAGTTCCACTCGCGCTACATCACCACTGTGAGTGCCCGCGGCCCGCCTGGCGGGATGGGCGCCTGGGGACTGGGTTCCAGCCGCCCCCGCCCCTCGCCCTAGAGGAGCTCCCTGGTGTTGGGAGGGCAGGGCGCGCGCGGGGGCTCAGCGGTGCCGCCTGGGCCCCTGCCGTCCGCTGCTGCACGGACACAGGCCGCCTTGGGCCGCTCTGCTGGGAGGACGGGACGTGTCAGCGTTCGGGGAGCGCACCTGCTGCGTCCTCCAAGTGGGGTGTTCTCTGGGCCCTGAGTGTCTGCCGCCCTGGGCACTCGTGGCCCCGGGGACACAGCCGGGCCCCACCTCCCCAGCCGTCTCTGGCAGCGCGCCCCTGGGGGCCACCCCTGTCGAGGTTGGTGTCCCTCTTGGCCATATACCGAGACCAAGGGGTCCTATCTCCACGCAGCCTGGGCTGAGCGACGGTGGCGCTGGCATCCCAGCGGCTGCCTGGGGCTCTGGCTGGAAGCGGACGCCCCAGAACACGCGGGTGCACCCACGGGCGGGGCGGGGCGGGGCGGGGCGGGGCGGGGCGGGGGGGAATGGCTGGGCATTGATTTCAGACCCAGCCTGCGCCTATCACTGCCCGTGGGGGCGTCGCGCGCCTGGAATGTCGACCACAGTGTAAAGAGGCCATGGAGTCACCCGTGGGGTGCACGCACTTCGTGCACGCGCATTGTCCCACACCGCACGGGGGGTGGGGTGGGGTGGGGTGGGGTGGGTGGGTGGGGGGTGGGGGGTGCGGAAGGGGGGAGGGCGCAGGTCGGGGACCAGCGCTGAGCTCGCGCGCAGGGCTGGCCTCCGTGTGGGCTGCGGCGTGACCCAGCCCGGCCTTCCAGCCCCACCGCCCACCCCTCCGCGGCTGCGGAGCCCGTTTTAACCAGGCGCGTCCGTCCCAGGCACAGGCCCGGCCCCCACGCCCAGGCCGAGCCCCGCCCCTCGCGTCCTCCGCGAGCGGCGCGCGCCCTCTGCTGGCGGCGGGCAGTCCTGCAGCCGCGCGCCCGGCTGCGTTCACGCCGCCCCTTCTCCCCGCCCCCCCCCAGGTCATCCAGAGGATCTTCTACGCCGTCAACCGGTCCTGGTCCGGAAGGATCACCTGTGCCGAGCTGCGGAGGAGCACCTTCCTGCAGGTGGGCGGTCGTGGCGGGGCACCCACTCCTTGCGTCCTTACACCCGTGTGTTCGGCCGCCTGTCCGTCCTGCCGCCTGCGCAGGAGGCCCGGCCCTGGAGACCGTGGGATGGGGCCCCGGGGAGAGGCAGCGGGCGGTCCAACACAGACGCTGCGCTCTGACCCTCGGGCCGGCCCTGCGCCCCCCGCGGCTGGTGCCCGGGAAGCGCGGCGGCATCCTGGGCTTGCTCGGCAGAACGTGGCGCTGCTGGAGGAGGAGGCGGACATCAATCAGTTGACGGAGTTCTTCTCCTACGAGCATTTCTACGTAATCTACTGTAAGTTCTGGGAGCTGGACACGGACCACGACCTGCTCATCGACCAGCAGGACCTGGCGCGGCACAACGACCACGGTGAGCCCGCTGGGGCCAAGCCCGCGGAGGGGGCCTCGGCCAGTGCGTCGCTCCCCCAGAGCCTCTAGGGCGCTTTGCACCCCGCATCCCGCCGCCTCGGTGTGTCCCTGGGGATCAGGACCCGCCGCCTGTCGGTTCAGGCCAGAGCTTCCAGGGGCGTCCTCACCGGCTGAGCGCGGGGGCCCGGACGTGTCCCTTCTGCTTGTTGCCTCCTGCAGCGTCTAAGGGGTGTCCTGGGACGGGCCCAGCCGGCCGTTCGGAGGGGCCCCCCGTGCGAGGCCCAGGTGCGGTTTCTTACCTGCTCTGCGGTCTTAGTTGACCTACCTCCTGGGGGCGGCACAGCAAATGGGGGACCAAAGCAACAGCAAACTGTTCTCTCTTCTGGAGGCCAGACCTCCAAATGCAAGCGGTTGAACGATCCTCCCCCGTGAGGCTGTGGGGGAGAACGTGCGGGCACAGGACCGTGTCCTGGCGCGTAGCCCTCACCCTCCCCCGTCCTGGGGACCCGGCCTCTGAGGTCCTCGCGCTCCCTCCCCAGGCTCCAGGGAGGGGCCTTCCACCTCTCCCAGCTCTGGGGGCCCCGGCGTCCGTGGGCGGGTGGCCTCTCCTCGGGGTCTGCGTCTCCTCTTCTGTGTCTTCTCAGGACATTGTCCTGGGATGCAGGGCCCCCCTGCCCCAGGGCGACCACCTTTTACATCCTTCACTGATTCCACCTGTGAACTCTTTACAAATAGGTCGTTTATAGGCTTTGAGGGTCAGGACGCGGATGTATACGTTTTCGGAACGTGGATTCCAGCCTCGAATGTTGTCAGGTCACTCCCGGTGCAGTGACCAGCGCTGAGGCCAGGCGGGCGGGGGCTGCGGAGGGATGGCCTTCGTCCCGAGTGCTGAGCCCAGTGCTGTCTGTGGACTGAGCCGTGTCTCTGACCACGTCCCCACTGAGTCCTCGCCCGCAGGACCTCAGGACGGGGTGGCGTGTGGGCACCCGTCCCAAGGCAGGCGGCTAAGCTGAGGTGAGGTCCCCAGGGCGGGTCCTGAGCCAAAAGGACTTGGGGGCCTTACACAAAGAGGAGACGGGGACACAGACCCACCCAGAGGGACGCCCGTGGGAGGGCCCAGGGGAAGACGGCCGTCCCCGCGCCCAGGAGAGGAGCCTCGGGGGAGCCGGCCCTGCCCCCGCCCAGGGCTCAGCCTCCGGCCCCCAGGACAGGTCTCTTTTCACGTCTGCGGACGTCACGTTTCCCTGGGACGCATGTGCAGTCTAACCCCAGTCAGGGTGCCGTGAGCCCTGAGGTGTGACGACAAGCCTGTCCCTATTTCCCCCCTCGCTCCCCCCCCAACTCCATTGTGGGGCCCCGGGGCGCCTGTGCCTCCGAGCCAGGCTCTGCCAGGCTCTGCCCGGCCCTCGGGCGTGCGCGGGCCGTTCTGGGTCAGGGTCCGCTGCCCGGCCGGCAGTTCAGCGCACGCCCCGCCCCGCCCCGCCCCACGCCACGCCCACACGCCCCACGCTGCCCCGGGCTCACAGCTGTCTCCCTGCAGCCATCTCCACGCGGATGATCGAGCGGATCTTCTCCGGAGCTGTGACGCGGTACGTGTGTCAGCCGGGCCATGCGTTCTGCTGACGGTGCGGCCGCGGTCCTGGGTGCACGTCCAGCTCCGGGTCACTCACTGCCCGGCCGTGGGCGCTGCTGGGACCGGAGGTCGGGAGGGGACACGTGCTCCGGCACACAGGACTCATTGGGTCACGAGTGACAGCCACGTGACAAGCCTGTCATGTCACGTCATGTCACCCAAGGTCATCAGTAAGGGCGGGTCTGCTCTATGGTCCCACGAGGTCATAAAAGGGGCACATAAGGGGGGCCCTGGGCCTCCAGTCTGTGAGGTGCAGGGGGGAGGCTGCAGCAGCTGCGCCCCCAACCTGGGCCGGGAGCCCCCCCCCCGGAGGGCCCTCCTGGGGCGCACACAGGCACGGCTCCCGGACATGGTCCTGTTTCTCGATTCCTGGAACCCAGAGGCAGGAAAGTGCAGAAGGAAGGAAAGATAAGCTATGCTGACTTCGTCTGGTTTCTCATCTCCGAAGAGGACAAGAAAACCCCGACCAGGTGGCTGGGGGGTCCCCCGCCCCGCCCCGCCGGGGGAGCGCCCGGGGACGCGTGGGGCCATGCCTGGGGACTTGTGCTTGTCCCAGGGGGTGTGTCCCGGGGGCGGGGGGGGGGCGGGCCGGGGGCCAGGCTGACGGCAGCCGCCCGGCAGCATCGAGTACTGGTTCCGCTGCATGGACCTGGACGGGGACGGGGCGCTGTCCATGTTCGAGCTGGAGCACTTCTACGAGGAGCAGAGCCGCCGGCTGGACTGCATGGGCATCGAGGCCCTGCCCTTCCAGGACTGCCTGTGCCAGATGCTGGACCTGGTGAAGCCCGCCTGCCCAGGTGCGCCTGGGGGCGCGGGGGCGCCCCGCCTGGTGGGGGGCCCACGTGGAGACGCCGGCCCCGGCCCTGCTCCCGCGAGCGCGCCCGGGCAGCGGCGGGATGTCGGGGGCCTGGTGGTGTGGCTGGTCCCTACGTTCCGACCCACATCAGGCTGGGTCCGCCCTTCCCATCCCCCAGCCCTGCCCCGGGACGAGGTCCTGTGTGCGCAGCGTCGGGAGGCTGGCTGTCCCCGCCGGCTCGCCCACGCCTCTGCCTGAGCCCTCGCTTTCCGGTCACACTGGCTGGGGGCACTGCCTGGGCCCCCCGGTGCCGGGCTCTGCCTCCCCTCCCTCCCTCCCCGAGCAGCTGGGGTCCCGGCCCGGTGCAGGGACCCTCAGGGCAGCCGGGGCTCCACCCGCCCCCCACCACAAACGCCCGTCCAGCAGGCGGCCGGCAGTGCTCTGGGAGGGACGCGGGACCCCTGGGGGCAGACACGCAGGGACTCAGCCCCTCTCCTCCAGTGTGCCTGCTGTTGAGTTTGGGCATTTGAACAGGATCACCCTGGGACCCTGCTGTCCCTTGTCCCCAGCCGACCACGCGTGTGCACAGTGCCCTGTGGTGGCCGTGCTGTCTGCTCACGTCTTCCGTGCACTTCGCTGCCTCCTGGCTGCCTGACCCTGGGCTCTGACCTCTATCCGACCCCCCCCCTACCCCCCCCCCGCACCCTCCGTTCAACCCATGTCCCTGCTCCGACCTTGCTCGGGAGGCCCTCCCATGTCCACGGCTCCGGTCGCACAGCCATGGGGGACATGCGGGGCCGGTGCACGCGCTCCTCAGCGTGCTCCCAGGCCTGAGCGCCCCGGTCCCCGCAGGGAGCATCACGCTGCGTGACCTCAAGCGGTGCAAGCTCGCCAACGTGTTCTTCGACACCTTCTTCAACGTCGAGAAGTACCTGGACCACGAGCAGAAAGAGCAGGTGTCCCTGCTCAGGGTGAGTGTGGCCGGGGGCCCTGCGTCCCAACGCCTGTCTGTCCACCCACCCGCGTGACACGCGTGTCCTCGCAGGAGGCGGAGGCGGAAGGCCCTGAGCTGTCGGACTGGGAGAGGTACGCGGCCGAGGAATACGACATCCTGGTGGCCGAGGAGGCTGCGGGCGAGCCCTGGGAGGACGGGTGAGCAGCCTGCAGTGCTGGGCGGGGCGCGGGACTGGGGCGGGCGGGGGCGGGGCCGGGTGGAGCGCGGGGGCGGGGGCGGGGACTGGGCGGCCCGGGGCGGGGGCGGGGGGGGGCGGGGCCGGGGTGGAGCGCGGGGACTGGGGCGTGGGGGGGCGGGGCTCGACTCACTGCGGCAGAGAATTCGCATCCAGGGACCGCGTTGTGCGCTCCCGCTGGTGTCTGGGCGGAGGAGTCTCCCTCCCGGGCCAGGTCCGGGGCCCCGGGGCCACCCGCTCAGGTCCCTGCCCGTCGAGCAACAGTCCCCCGAGCCCTCACACGGCCCCCGCAGGTACGAGGCGGAGCTGAGCCCCGTGGAGCAGAAGTTGAGCGCCCTTCGGACGCCGCTCGCCCAGAGGCCCTTCTTTGAGACCCCGTTGGCCCTGGGCGCCGCCAACCTGTACGACGAGGAGGACGAGGACGAGGACGGGAGCGACGACGACCTGCCGCCCTCCTGACCGCCCCCGGGGCCGTGGGCGCGGCCGGCTGACGCAGCGGCTTCTGCGTGGGAACAGGGGCCTGCGTGCGGAGGCTTTGGAAGTTGAGCTCTTCACAGAAAACGAGGTGCATTTGTACGGAACGAAGAAGTCTATTTAGTCACTCGGCGCCGAGGCTGGTGGCCAGGTGGCCGCCCCCCGGCCTGGTGGCCAGAGCAGACCCGGATCCCGGGGACGGTTGCGACGCCCAGTCGCGGGGCCGGCCTCGGGCCGCCGTGGGGCTCCGAGTGGAGGTGTTTGGGGGCGGACGGGGCCCCGCGGACGGTTCACGCCGCAGGAGCCAGGGTCTGTCCTGGGCGCACCTGCCCCGCCGCGCAACCCGCACCTGCGCGGACGGCCTGCGTCTTGGGCTGCGAGCGTCCTGGCCCGGCGCCCCGTTCGCCCGCGCGTGCCGGGCACTGGGTGCCCCGCGTGGTGCTCCTGTGAACGTGTCCTCCTGGATGTACAACACGTGTCACTGGAACTTTCCTTTGCTGTGTAGCGCGACCCTACAACGTTCTACGAGATCACATTTGTATTTTCAAATAAATATTTAAGGGTTTCCACCCCCAGGCTGTGCTCGTGCGCCAGCCGCCCGGGGCCCCGCCCACGGCCTGGCGCCTCCGCCCTGGGTCCAGGGCGTGTGGGGGGGGGGGGGGGGGACGACTGGTCCCCGGGAGACGCCTGCAGCCGCCCGCTTCTCCCGCACTGTCCCTCCTAAGGCTCTGTGTGTGTGCCACACTCGGGGGCGCCCCCTCTTCTGGGACAACCCTGAACTGCAAGCCCTGGGACCCCTCGCGGGCCAGTTGGTGGGGTCCTGCCTCCCCTCCCCGCCCGCTGTGCTCCGCCCCCGCCCCCCGAGCGGTGACGGGACAAGTTGCTAGGAGTCACCTCGGCCTTCTCGCCCGGTGCTCGGCGGCAGCAGCAGGGGGTCCCGTGCCCGCGAGGTGCCGGCAACGACACAGGGACGGCCGTCCGGCCCAGCCGCCCCGTGGACGCACAGACCTGGTCCTCACCCTCTCCAAGGAGGCTCCCAGGACCGATGGGCGAACATCGCGTTCCCGTGTGCGCGCCGAGCAAAGAGCGGGGGTGACGGGGGGCCGGTGCAGCCCAGATCCGCTGGGAAGGGCTTGGCCGTGGGGTCCAGGGACCACCCCAGGCCTTCCGCACGGCCCACGGGACACCCGGCCCTCGGCGTCTGGGAGTGCTGGTCAGGGCCTGAGACCACGACCCCCCGCGGGCTCCAGGCTCTGGTCTTCGGTGCCCCGTCCCCGGCCCCGCAGCTGCAGAGGCAGAGAGACACGTGGCCCGGCCGGGCTGGTCCGTGGCTCGGAGCACTGTCCCCGAGCCCAAGGTGGCGGGTTCCATCCCTGGTCCAGACAGTGCAAGGCACGGCCAACAACGCCTCCGTGTTCGGAGCCATAAACCGCCCCTCCCCCATCCTGTCCCCGCTCGGCTCCATGAGAAACCACCGCAAATTTCAGGAGCGCAGGCACGCAGGTGCCAGGGCTGCACAGCGGGTGGCGTCTGGGTCACCAGGCCGCGCTGCCCTGGGCCGGTGCAGGCGGCGGCAGGCCACGGGCCGGTCACCACAGCCCAGACCCAGGCGTCTCGGAAACGCCGTCTTGCTCAGGAATGGAGCTTCCATGGCGGCCCCCCTGTGCCACAGAGGTGCACGGACCCTTGGGACCGTCCCGCGCCCTTGGGTAACAGCAGACTGCCACACCCCCGTAGTGGCCCCGGTTCCCGAACCACGAGGACAAGGCCGCACGCTCCCATTCTGGACCCGTCAGGCCGCAGATCGGGGGTCTGTCCCGGGCGTGACGCATGCTCCAGGCCCTAGGGCCACAGGGCCACAGGGCCCTCTCCCCAGGGGACCCCGCCTCCCGGGCTCTGTGGGGGTGGAGCTCACGACCCCCTGACTCGCCTCTTCAGCGGAGCAGACTCCAGGCCGGGCCGGCGATTAGTCCATCAGGACAACGGGCCGCAGGAATTGCTCACAGTTGCCCAGCAGCCTCACCTACAGCATCCACGAGACAACCCCCGTCCCCCGAAGGCGAGCCCCGCCGGGGACTGAGGTGGGAACCGGAGGTCTGCCCAGGCTGGGACAGTCCCCGGCTTAGGGGGCGCCCACGCCCACTGGCAGCTTGTTGCCCTTGCCCCCTGCCATCCCGTGCCCAGCACCGCCCTGCACGCTCTGGCCCCTTGCTCACCTGCCGCATACCCACGCCGCGCCCCCGTGCCTCTGGCCCCTCTGCGCCCCAGCACAGCGCCTGCTGTTTGTCTCCTGCCCCCTCCCCTCCCCCCCCCCTCCCCCCCCCCCCCCCCCCCCCCCCCCCCCAGAAGCTGCACCCCCGCCAGCGCCTTGCTCCGCCCCCACGCCGCCTTGCCGCACTCCACACCACCACCCTCTGACCCGAGTGCAGCGTTCTGCGCCCCGGCTCACGCTCTGGCCCCCCTGCAGAAGCCAGGTAACCACACTCGGGTGCACGCGCCCTTCGCGCACGCAAGTCCTCCTCACAGGGAGACCTCAGAGCTCCGCTCGCCAACCCTCCCAAGCCCCCTGACGGGCTCTCCGCAGCTCCCAGTGTGCGAGGGGCCCGGCCTCCATCCTGCGCAGACCGCAGTGCTCTCTGGGAGACCAGTAAAAAACGCACTAATAATACCTCATCTCCAAGGACACATGAGACATTTCTGAGCACTATGCGCATCAGCTGGTGCGGCTCCAGCCCCGTGACCACCTGCAGCTGCTGAGGCCCGAGGCCAGCGGCCCGGGGATGTGACGCGGTCAGGCCTAAGTGGAGTCGCTGCAGACCAGACCCCGCGCCTGGGACCACGTCCCCCTGGCCAGGACACTGGCGGTGTTCGGTGGGATAGCTGTGTCCTTGGGGTCTCAGGGGGCCCTGGAAGGAAGTCTGCAGGGCAGGCCCCTCTCGGGCTCAGGGCAGGTACTCCCTGGTTATTTTCTCTCTGATGCGGTGTGATTTTGTGGGTCCCTTGATAAAGTGAAAACGACCCAGGCTCTGGAAAGCGCACTGGTTCCTGAGACTGCGGCCTCGTGGCGGCGGGGGCACAGCTCCGGACTCGCCCCCACCCCCGCGCAGGCGTCTACCGTCGACCCACGATGAAAGCCCAGGCGGGAGGGGAGAATCACCGCGCCCACGGAACCCCCCGCCGCCCCCTGTGCACACGCCCAGCAATCAGTTCATGAGCACAACCTGCGCCTGACTCGCTGTTCCTGCTGCGCGAATTGGTCTCAGCCCCACGTGCAGTCTCCTCGAGACAACCGCCCCCCAGACCACGAGACCCCAAGGGACGTCGAGCAGGCACGGAGGAGGCCCAGGACCCAGGCGGGAATCCAGCCGGCGCGTCCAGGAGAGCGCAGTCCCAGGACGCACAGCGGGTGTCGGTGGGACAGGTCGCCTGCGCGCACCCCGCCGCACCTGGCCCTCCTGATCGAGGGCGCCCAGTTCTCCCGCCCCGCCCGCCGAATCAGCGCGCAGCGCTCACACCACCGCCCCGCCCCACGCCACGCGCCACGGGTTTTTGCGCCACCGCCCCGCCCCGCCCCTGGTGCGCGCCCTCAGCGTCACTTAACAGGTCTTGTTGACGTTAAAAACCGACATTAGCAACTCCTCTGCTTTTAGTGATTGGTCCAGTACAATTACAACACAAATTATAGAGGGGCTGCTGTTCATTATCAAATGCATGTGCCCTGCCCACGAAATAGTGACCTCGCTACTTTGCAGTCAATCCCTGTGTCCAATTAACGTGTAAGCCCAATTAACATAAGGTATTAATTATAAAATATCCATTAGATCACATTCTAGGCAACGAATACACAGTGCTACATACTTTTTGAAAGTGTATATTCAGGATACAATTTTTAAAAAGATTTTATTTATTTTTAAAGAGGGGGGAGAAAAAGGAAAACATCCCTGTGCGGTTGCCTCTCGCGCGCCCCCTACTGGGGACCTGGCCCACAACCCAGGCCTGCGCCCTGACTGGGAATCAAACCAGACTCTTTGGTGCCCAGGCCAGCGCTCAATCCACTGAACCACACCAGACAGGGGATGGATACATTTTAAGTTAAAGAAGTGTTCAAAACAATATACAGCGTGGGGCAAAAGTCAGTCTATAGTTGTATGTGAAAACTTGGTTTTGTATCATTTACTAATTATTGTATTATTCTCCATATGAACTGTAAACCTCTTGGTCCTCCCTGTATACGATCCTTTATGATAGAAATTGTTTTGGATGAAAATTTAAAATATGTGTACACTCACACATACGCATGGGCCCTCCATATTTATGGGTTCTGCATTGGCAGCCTCACCCAAGCAGAGATGGAAAATACTCAGGTTGGGGGAAAGGCAGGGTGTTTCTGACTGAGCGAATGTTACATTGTTGCTGTGTTGGCAGGTCTCAGGTGGTTGCATCTGTACTGAACAGAGGCAGACGTGTTTCTCGTTACTATCTCTGAAACGATAGTGATGCTCTTACACAGCATTAACATTATCCGGTGTTGTAAGTAATGTAGCCACGACTTTAAAGTGTACCAGGGAGGATGTGCGTGGGCATGTGCCCCAATATTCCATTTCACATAAGGGACTTGAGCGCCCGCGGATTTTGGTGTCCGAGGGGGGCCCTGGAACCCCTCCCCGTGGATGCAGGGGCATGACTGCATGCGCGCGCGTGGGTATAAAGGACTGGAAGAACACACACAAAATCTCCAGGTATCTCTGTGTGGCCACATGGTGCGCAATTTTCATTTCCTGCTGTCTTCCTTTCGGCACCTCGTAATCACTCTGCTGGAATCGGGCACCCCTGCCCAGACTCGCAGGATCACCGACCCTCTGAGAACGAGCATTACACACACTCTCGCGGACAGTGAATTTGGGGACAGGCGGGGCCAGACCGTCCACGCAGACCCAAGAAAAGTCCAATTTCTAGGGGCCCTTGAGGCTGTCAACCATGGAAGGCGCGACACAGCCAGCCGTGAACTCACGCCCAAGTCCTTCTCGGGGCTGCAGACCCCCGGGCGCACCTGGAGACCGCCGAAGCAGAACGTGGGGACCCCAGGGATGGAAAAGGACGCTGGGGCTGCCAACGTGCACCCGGGACCCTCTCGGCTGCATTTCGAATCCCCGCGCGGCCCCGGAACCCATCCCAAACATCCCGGGGACCGCGAGCCGCGCCTGGGGCCAACGGGACCGGCTGGAGCCCCCAGGCAAAATCTGGGACCCGGGCCGCGCTGTGACCCCAGGGCAGGATCTGGGACCAGGGGCCCACGCCCGGGAGGGGCGCGGGAATCCGCCGGGTGGCAGGAGAGCCCGCCGAGGGGCTCGCAGTGTTTCCAGTCGCAGGGTCCTTCGCGAGCCGCCCGCGCGGAGGCGCACCTCCTACTAGGGCGCCAGCCCCGCGGACCCGTTCCTTGCGGGCCGCGACTTCACGTCCTACAGGCGGCGGCGAACACGTGACACGCACGTCCAATGGGCTTTCCGCAGGGACGCTCGCCCCCGAGTCCCCGCCCCGTGGCGTTCGTGCGGCCGCGGGATGTGGACCCTGCGGGCCGCCGTCCGCCCGGGGGCCGCGCTCTCGCGCGTGGTTCGCGGCCGCCCGGTACTCAGGGTCGCGCCGCCGCCGGCGGCGGCCTGCCCTGAGCGCGCGGTTGCGGCGCGCAGTCCCGGAGGTCCGAGGGGCCAGCAGGGGCGGCGTGGCGGTGGCCGGGATCCCTGTGCAGATGGCCGGGGCGGCGGGGCCGGACGGGCGGGCGAGGAGGAGGAGCCAGAAGATGCGGAGGCGGAGGAGGAGGAGGAGGAGCTGCTGCGGAGCGAGCCCTTGCTGCCGGCGGGGGCCCAGCGCGTGTGCGTGGTTCACCCTGAGGTCAAGTGGGGACCCGGGAAGCCGCAGCTGACGCGAGGTGAGCCGGCGCGGGCGGGGCGCCGAGGGCCGGACGCCCGGGGCGGGGCTTCATGGCCGGACCTTGTGGGGCGGGGGCGGGGGGCGGGGGGCGGTCCGGCCTGCGCCGAGGCTGCTACGGTGAAAGGACTGCAAGGGCGGGAACTCGTAGGACAGGGCTTCTGAGAAGGGGGCTGCCTTTGGGGCGGCTGGACTTAGGGGTCTAAGGGAACCCCTCCCAAGCGGCCCTGACTGGCTGCAAGCAGCCGTCGCCAAGAACGCGTCTCTCCCGAAGCCGAGTGGCAGGTGGCGGAGGCGAGGGCGCTGGTCCACACGCTGGACCAGTGGTCGGTGGTGGAGACGATGATCGTGCCCACGAAAACGCCCGACAGGAAGCTCATCTTCGGCAAAGGGACCTTGGAGCATCTGACAGGTGGGCCCCGGGCGCGCGTCCCTGCCCTTCTCCCTTCCTCCCAGCAGAACAGCAAGCACAGGCTGCCGCTTGGACTCGCATCCGATGTCAAAGAGCCTCCGGCGGCGAAGGAAGTTGAGCGAGCCTCTGCGGCAGGCAGTTCAGAGCGCGCGCGACCCCAGCCCTGCCCTCCCTCCCTCCTTCCAGCTGCCCATCGTCAGTGTCCGATGGGGGCCCTGCCTATGAACCCCGCTCTCCTGGGACGCTGACAGTTCGCCGCCCTCCACCCTGTCCCACCGTCCGGGGCTCGCGGTCCAGAGCCGCGCGCTGGAAGGGGGGCGCACTGCCTGTCTCTCTGAGCCTTGAGGTCATTCACTTCCCATGGGGACTCGGAACCCAGGCGTCCCCTCGACCCCAGTCCACACCTCCGCTGCCCCAGAGCCTCAGCTGCACACCTTGCTCAGAGGGTCCGCGGACGCGGCCCACCGACGTGCAGGGCCTGCCGCGCGCAGATGGGCAGGAGGGACCCCTGACGCGGCCTTCTCTCCTCAGAGAAGATCCGAGGGTTGCCACAAGTCACCGCCGTCTTCCTGAACGTGGAGCGCCTGTCTGCGCCCGCCAAGGTACGGGGCCCTGCCGTGGGCCGTCCACCCTCGGCACGGGGCCCCGGGTCAAGCCGCGCAGCAGGGACTCGGGACCCAGGGCACCTGATGGGCAGTGACGGGCGGGCTCCCTGTGCAGGCCCCTCACACGCGGTCCTTTCCCAGAAAGAGCTGGAGGCCGCCTGGGGCGTGCAGGTGTTTGACCGGTTCACCGTGGTCCTGCACATCTTCCGCTGCAACGCCCGGACCAAGGAGGCGCGGCTGCAGGTGGCCCTGGCCGAGCTCCCCGTCCTCAGGTGCGGGCTCCGGTGTCCCCGGAGACGGCAGAGCCGCCGCCTCGTTTCCCCGCGTGCGACTGCCGCTCGGGTGCAGAGCGGACAGAGCGTGGCCGGCCGCACCCTCCTGGGCCATGGCACCCGCGGGACACGGCTGGGGCGCGTCCCTCCGCAGGGCATTGCCCCGCAGCGGGGGGCCCTGTGCCCTGGACAGCAAAGGCCCCCACAAGGCAGTTCCCGCGCAGGAGGGAGACCCCGCGCCTTGTCCCTCTCCCTCAGGGGCGGCGCCCAGCGCTGCATCCTGGCCCTCACGCGTGCCTGCGGCGCCCGCCCGTCTCCCTGGACGGGCCTGTGCGTCTCCTCCCGTCCGCCTCCTCGCCCCGTTTTCACGACAGGTCCCACCTGAAAGACGTCGTCGCCCACCCGGATGGACGTGGAGGGAGCTCTCGCTACATCATGGGGTCAGGTAGCGTGTCCAGGGTCCGCGCACCCGCTGCTGGGAAGCGGGGGAGTCACGGCCGCCGCCTCTGGGGAGGGGCCCGCGTCCCGACCCAACCCCGCCGTGGCGGGAGCTGCCTACAGCGCTGGTCCGTGGCCTCATCACAAGCCAGGGATCCAGGTGGTCTGGGGGCAGTTCCAGCGAGGACCGCACACCCGGGGTTAACACAACGGAACCAGCCCGGGAGGGTGCGGCTCCGTGGACGGAGCGCCCGCCTGCGAACCTAAGGGTCCTCAGTTCAACTCCTGGTCAGGGCACAGGCCTGGGCTGGGGGCCAGGTCCCCAGGAGGGGGCGTGCGAGAGGCAGCCACACATGGATGTTTCCCTCTTTCTCCCTCCCTTCCCGTGTCTCTAAAAAATAAGTAAAGAAAAAAAAAAAGATTGTGGTACAAAATGCCATTTAAAATATGAGCCAGAAAAACATCTCCCCCGCCCCCGCTGCGCAGACCAGGCATTTGAGGCCCGGGGAGGGCCCTTCCCACCGCTCTCAGCTCCTGCCCCTCCCGTCTCTGCCCGTGACTCCGCGGGGCTTCTCTGGCTCCGCGTCGCCCGTCTCTTCTACGGACACTGTCACGGGACGTAGAGCCGCCCGGACCCAGCACGACCTCCTCTCAGACCCTTCCCGCCATCGCGTCTGCGAGGTCCCTGCTTCCCAGTCAGGTTCCGTTCCCAGAGTCTAGTGGTCAGAATGTGCCACATCTTGGCGCTGCCACTCGGCCCACTGGGGATATCGCGCGCGCTTCTTCCCAGGCTCTGACCTCATGCCAAGTGGAGGGCAGCCCAGCTGTCCTTGCACGACAGAAGCTGGAGGCGGGGGTGCCTGTCCAAGCGTGAGGCGTCCGGGTGGCGGCTGCCGGGCGTCCCTCGAGGCCGTCAGCGCAGCCGGCGCGCGCCCTGCCCTCCCGAGCCTGCTCCCTGACGCGCCTCCGTGGGGCTTCCAGGGGAGTCCTTCATGCAGCTGCAGCAGCGCCTCCTGAGAGAGAAGGAGGCGAAGATTCGGAAGGCCCTGGAGAGGCTGCGCAGCAAGAGGCAGCTGCTGGGCAGGCAGCGGAGGCGGCGGGAGTTCCCGGTGGTCTCCGTGGTGGGCTACACCAACAGCGGTGAGCGGTGGCCGGGTGAGGGGCGGGTGAGGGGCGGAGCCCAGCCCCTGTGAAGAGCTCGTGGGGCGTCTGGGCGGGGTCTCCTGTTGCGCCCCTGGTGCCGGGTCACAGGCACTCCGGCGGGGGAGGAGCACCAGCGAAGTCCCCGCGGCACAATTCACTCAGGAAGCGCGGCCTCTCGGAGCAGCGGCCGCTCTCTGTCCTCCCGGACCTTGTTGTCTGCGCCCAGCAGCGGCGGGCACCCCCTCACACCTGCAGCCAGGCTGGGGTGCCTCCAGGCCTAGAAGCGCCATAAGTGGATACGTGTAAATTCCCACCTCCCAGGAAGCGCAGATACGGTGCCGTGTCAGACGGATGGGTGGCCCTCTGCCGGGGCGCGGGAGGCGCGGGAGGGATTGTGACGCAGCGCGTGTCCCGTGCCCAACGCGCAGGAAAGACCACGCTGATCAAGGCGCTCACGGGAGACGCTGCTGCGCAGCCGCGGGACCAGCTGTTCGCGACGCTGGATGTCACGGCTCACGCTGGGTCGCTGCCCTCCCGCATGGCCGTCCTCTACATGGACACCATCGGCTTCCTGTCCCAGCTGCCCCACAGCCTCATCGAGTCCTTCTCCGCCACCCTGGAGGACGTGGCCCACTCGGTGCGTGCGGGGGTCGCAGCCAGGCCGTGAGAAAGCCCAGAGCTTTGCACGCGGTCCCGCGGGGGCAGCGTGGGGCACCCCCCCCCATACTGGCCCTGGCAGGTCTTCATGTGGGGCTGACGGGGGTTTTCGTTTGTCCTGCTGCGCGGCCATCTGGTCCCCAGGACGTCATCGTGCACGTGAGGGACGTGAGCCACCCCGAGGCGGACCTGCAGAAGGCCAGCGTGCTCTCGGCCCTGCGCGGCCTGCGCCTGCCCGCCCCGCTGCTGGACTCCATGCTGGAGGTGCACAACAAGGTGGACCTGGTGCCTGGGTGAGCCGCCCGCCCCGTCCCCGGGCCCCGGGGGGCTCAGCGCCCAGCGGGGGACAGCGCGTGCACTACCCCTGCCGCGTGCGTGGCGGCCAGGCCAGCTTGGGAAGGGAGGGGGAGGGGGCCCTCGGCCCAGCCGCCCAGTGTGTGCAACAGCCAGCGGCCCCTGGGGCAGGTGCGGAGCCTGCGCCTCGCGCACCCTGGGCCCCTTATGCTGCAGGCCGTGCTCCCCGCATTGGCCCGTTGGACAGGCTGTGTCCCCTCCTGGGACGGCCTGAGCTGGTCCCAGCTGGGCCCCGCACTCCAGGGTCCCGTTGAACCTGCTCCCCGGCCGTCCCCGCGCAGGTACCAGCCGCCGGAGCCACACGCCCTGGCCGTGTCCGCCCTCCTGGGGCTGGGGCTGGAGGAGCTGAAGGCTGAGCTGGAAGGCACCGTGTTGCGAGCCACGGGCAGACGGGTCGTGACCCTGCGCATCCGCCTGGCGGGCCCACAGCTGAGGTGGGTCGGGCAGGACAGGGGCGGGGGAGGGGCCGAGACGGCTGCGTCCAGGCCAGTCACCGCCCATGGGGTGGCCGGGGACCCGCCGGGGTAAGGCCGCCCTGAGCTCGCCGTTCGCGCCCCGCTGCCCACCTAAGCCGCCCCTCCCCCCAGCTGGCTGCACCAGGAGGCCACGGTGCAGGACGTGCGTGTGCTTCCCGAGGCCGGCGTGGCCGACGTCACGGCCATCATCAGCAGCTCCGCCTACGGCAGGTTCCGGAAGCTCTTCCCACAATGAACGGGCGCCTGTGGCCTGCAGACAGCCCCTCAGCCTTGAGGATGGCAGCGACCGCGGAAGGCAGCGGTGGACGCGGAGCGCTGCCGGGGGAGCGGGTCGTCGGCGCCTGGCGTGGACCGCGTTCGCTCCGACGCCTCCGACGACGCCGCCGCCGCAGGACGCGGAACCTCCGTTCCCCAGCTGTGAGCCAGGCTCCACCCAGGCGAGACCGCGCCCCCGGCTCCGTGTCCGCAGGCAGGGACCTCCTTCTTGGAGCAGAACGGCTGCGGAGATGCCTCTCCTGGCCCCTGGGGTCCGAGACAGAGGCCGGCGCAGAACTGGCCGGCGGTCCCGTGGCTCCAGAGATACGCGCGTGCCCCTCGGAGCCCAGGCCACTGAGCGCGCTCCCGAGGAGATGGGGCGGCCGGGGGTCTCTGCTCCCCTCTGCTGTGCGCTTTCCCTTAGACTTGCCCTCGCCCTGACGGGGGCGTTTCTTGCGTGGCCCCAGAAGGTCAGCTTTCGGGGCAATAAGGAAGTGACCACTGCCCCTGTGCCGAGCGTGCCGAAGGGGGTGTGGACCTGGCTGAGCGCTGCCCCTGCCTCAGGAGACGCCGAGGTGCACGCGCCGCGCACCGGCTCATCGTGGCCTCCCGCGCCCCCCCCCAGCTGCGCCCCCGCGCCTGCTGCCGCCCCGGCTGCATCCACACTCCAAACTGAGACGGAATAAATCCGTGTGGTCCGAAGCTGCCCATGGTGGTCGTCTGTCACGGCGGGCCCGGGACGGCCACACTCGTGGGGTCCTGGGTGCACACGGCAGTGGGAGGCTGCCTGTAGCCCCCACGGGACCCGGCCTCACCCACCCGCCCGCGGGCTGGGCTCCCAGGACCCCGCAGACCCTGTGCGGAGCTGGGACACGGTCCGACCTGGGGCCATGAGATGCAGGGCCCGTTGGTCCGTGCCCTTTGGCTCAGCCGCCCGGGGGGGCCGTCCCAGAGTCTCTGGCCCCGAGGGGGTTTCTGGGAGACCCCCGCTGGCAGGGGTCCCCCCTGGGGCGTGCTCCCCAGGCCCTGAGATCCAGCCCCGAGAGCAGCAGCCCGTGGCCACCCTGTCCCCTCCAGCAGCTGCGCCGGCTCCCCCAGTTCTGCTCGGCTGGGAAGTGGGAGGCGGCGTATGTGACGGCGAGGCCTTCTGGTCTCTGGGTGCCGGCTTTCCCGCTGGTTCGCCCACCCCCACGGTGCCCTCCCCCAAGGACTTGAACTGTGCACAGGCTGGCGGACCGCAGCGTCCACATGCCATGGCGTGAGCTCAGCAATGCAGGCCTGCGGGTGAGGAGGTGGGACCTCTGGGGCCCAGAGCCAGGGCAGGGGCCTCAGGAGCCGCAGGGGGAGGCTGGGGGTCTCGTGGTTCCCCAGAGGGGGCACCCTTTGGGGCAGAAGGTACTAAGCCCTCCTCACCCCAGACAGGCTATGTCTGCTCGCAGCTTGCGGGTGCACTGTGCCCAGAGGAGCCGGGTCTCTGAGAACAACCCCGAGGGGGGGGGAGGACAGCGGGCACCCGAGGAAGGCAGCCTGGGCCGGGCTGACCCCGGGAGCAGAAAGGCGGAGGGACAGAGCGCCATGGGACTGTGTCCCCTTCACAGACATTTACTCAGCAGTTTACAAAGCGGCTGGAAGCCGCCTCGCCCGGAGGATCCTTCTGGAACGACGTGCCTGTCTAGCTCAAAGCTCGGGAAAGCCACCTTTAAACGGAAGCACAGAACCTTTGCCTCACGCTCCCTGTAGGAAGCTCGCGCATGACAACTCTCAAAACGCCCGTCTGGCCCTTGGATTTACGGGAACAGGAAGAGTCATGAGCAGGGAGGAGGCCACAGCCGAGGTTTTCAGGAACTGCCCAGGACCAGGAGGAGGTGGTCCGTGCGGTTAACGTGCGTGCCTCTCCTTCCTGTGCCGCCCGCGCCTGCATGGCCTGGTGACGGGAAGTCCCCGCTCAGGCCTGACGTCCGCGTGTTTCCGCTGTTCCCTGGAGGCAAGCGATCCCTGCTGAGCGGCCCGGGCGCAGCTGCGAGGCGCTGGCGGGTCTCGAGGGGAACCCTGGGCGCTCCGTCGGAGCTGCGCCGTCCGGGTACCGCGCGCCAGGGCCTGGGCACGTCCCGATCCCGGGGCCTGTGTTAGGCCAGGATGTCCTGACACCGTCGCCCACAGCAAGAGCAGATCTTATTCTGGGAAATGACTTCTGTGGTCCCAAAGACAACGCACTCCAATGCAGATTAACTGATTTTTCAAGATGGTCCTAAGAAAACATAAAGCGTGACGCCCTTCCGCGCCGGAATATTGCTCCCGGTCATGAGCCCAGGGACCCCGTTAGGAGGGAGGGGACACACGAGGCAGGACCCATCCTCTGTCCCGGGACGGGGCCTCTCAGCGCTGCCAAGCCACACGCAGGAGGGAGGTGCTTTTGTGACCCTGGAGCTTCTGGAATCGTGGCTCCCGGGTCGCAGGAGGCGGAGCCACGGCCGGTGCGGGTGATGCTGAGGTGGGAGGAATTTTCACGAATGGAGGCGCCAGGGCGAACCCGGGGCAGCCGAGCACCAGAGCGGTGCTTTTTGTCTGTCCCAAGGCGGGGGCGGGGGCGGGGGCTCGCCTCGGCGGCAGGCCAAGCCCGGTTGGGTGCGGGGTGGGGGGTGGGCAGGGTGCAAAGCACGGGGCCCCCGTGTGTACGGGGCACGCGCGTTAGGACTGGCTACTGCGGGTAATCCCGGTGGACTCTGGGCTGCAGGTGGCCTGTGGCGGTGGGCACCTGCCCCCGGTGGCGGGGGCGGGGCGCACGGGCCTGGTGCACGTGTCGGACGATGGGCCGTGGGCTGGACTGCCACGCGCTCCCAAGTAAGGCCCGTGTGTCCTTAGGAAACAGCTCTCGCCGGGAGGGGCCGTCTGGAAACGGAGCCTTGGCGGGGGCACAGCGTGGCAGCTGTGACCGCGCTGGCTCAGTGTAACCCCCCAGCCCCCCCCACATGCACACACCGCCGCTGGGCAGCCCCGTCCTGGCCCACACCAGGCCTGATCCGGTCCTAGGTCCGGAGGGGGCGGAGGGCGGGCGAGGGTGGGGAGGGGAGGCAGCGCCGCTGCAGGACACTGCTCACACCTGCGTGCTCACACCTGCGTGTTCACACCTGCATGCAGGAGGCCGCTGGGAAACGGGGCGCCGGGGGACCTTGCTCCACGCCCTTCACCGTTATGTTACTAAGAAACCCCCAGATTCCCTTCGTTCCTCCGGGTCATCGCAGTCAAAGCATCGTCGTCGCAGCGGCCCCCGGGACCCGGGACGCCTGCCGGCGGGGGGTGCGGGGCAGAGGTAGGGGACCGGCCAGCCTTCCCGGGACCTAGAGATAGTTGCTCCCGTGACCTCGAAAGTGTTTTCTGAGGAGCTCCTGTCACGCTCAGTGCTGCCCAACCGGCAGGACCCCGCTGAAGGCTCCGTCGCTGGCACTCGGAGGGTGTCCCTGGGCCACCCCCAAAGCCGCCGCCAGGGGACGCCGCTGAGCGCCTGGTGGGCGGCCCGCGGCGGTCCGAGCCGGAGGGCGGGACCCGCAGCCCCAGGTAACGGCTTCCCGGAAGAGGCGCCCCCGGAGCCACCTGGGACGATCGGCGCCGTCACGGAATTCGCCCCGCCGCCCCCGCCCGAGACAGGGGTGCCCCGGACGCCCGCCGCGCTCCTCCCCGGCGTTTGGCCTGCGAGCTCGAGGGAGGACGCGCGCTCAGCAGCCGAGCAGCTTCTCGTTGAGCCTGATGACGTCGCTGACGAAGGAGTCCGAGCCGATGAAGTCGCCCGCGATGACGTTGACGCAGCGCGGGCCGGGCCCCGGGCTCTGCTCCCGCACCCACGCGGTCAGGCGCGGCAGGTTGGGCAGCGTCAGCTTCCTCAGGGACTGGCCCGGGTGCGCCAGGATGTACTGCAGGTTCTCGGTGAGGTTGATGCCGGCCACGAACACGCCGCCTGCAACGGCAGGGCGCCGGGACGGTGACCCCGAGGCCCGCGAGCCGCGGCAGCCACCCCCCGGCGTCCGGCTCCGTCTTCGGAAACGAGAGCTCAGACAGCCAGGCTCAACCGGCGTCGGGTCCGTGTGCTCCAGTCGCAGAGCGCGCGGGCCTGAAACGGCCCCCAGGATCCCACGTCCTCCGCCCTGAGTGGAGACCGAATGGTGTCCCCGAAGATGTGCCCGCCTAACCTGCATGCCCTGCGAACGAACATGTGACCGAACACGGCCAAGGGGCTTTGAGAAACGATGAAGTCAGGACGTCCCCTTCTTCAGGCCAGCGGACGTCACAAAGCAGAAGCAGCGCCGGCCGTGACTGAAGGAGCTGGGGCTCCTTGTCGCGCAACTGCCCAAAGCGCTGATTTCCTTAAAGTCACCAGCCGCTAGAGGACGGAGCAGGCTCCGACCGGACACACACGGGCCGAGGGCGGTGCCGGAGGTGCACGAGGCGCAGGAGCCGCTCGCTGCTCCTCGCTCAGGGCCGATGGCCACCGTGCAGCCACCAGGCCTTACGCCCCTCAGCACTAAAACCGCACGCGTGTGCCATGCGTGATGTGTGGGCCCGTGTGCATGAATGTACGTGCATGACGTGCGCGCGCGCAGACAATGTGTGCACACGCGCGAGCTCACCACGCATGTCCGTGCGTGCACCGCCGCACGCTGGCCTGAAAGCCCCTTCGCGTCGAGCCCGGAGCAGCGTCCGCCCCGCCCCCGCGCTGCGCGCACCCACCTGGGCGGCCGCAGCTCTTCATGTGCTCCAGGTAGCGGATGAGCTTCTCAGGCTTCACCTGGTCCGCCCACCAGTAGGGCACGTCCGGCCACAGCTCCCGGTGCCGATTCACGGAGCCCGCGTCGTCGTAGGAGAGGAGCACCTGCTGGCCGCGCGCCCACAGCTGCCGCAGCGTCGGCACCTCCTGCGGAGCACGGGGGCGGGGCTGGGAGGAGGTGCGTCTTTCTGAGAGGGCGGGAGGCGGGGCGTCGACGCCTGCCTTGTGGCGTCCGGATTGGCCCAGGACTCGGACCCTCGTTCCTGTCCGCGCAGCCTGACCCCACTCCGTGAGTGGCGGGGCAGGAGCGTCACCGGGAGTCAGTGGGACACTTTCGAGGGCCGCTCTGCCATCCCTCTTCGGCTGGAAGGCCCGCGTCCCCACCTCCTTCTCCCCCCTCCCCCAGACATCCCCAGGGAGACGGCGGGCGTCCCCGAGGGCAGCCTCTCCCCCCGGTGCCCTTTCGGGGACCGGCAACGGGGGTCCCCAGGCTGCCAGCAGCACCGCCGTCTCTGCTTCCGCCCGGACCTGTCGGGGACACGCTCTGTGCTGGCCTGACAGGGTGTAGCTGCAGCAGCGCCAGGCACAGGGGTGGGACGGCACAGGGAGGTGTGGATGGGGAGGGACTCAAGCCTGAACAGCTCCAGGATTCAACCCTCTAGGCTCCCTGGGGAGGAAGGGGCGATGCAGACCAGAACCCACGGCAAACGTGGAAGGCTATCTGCTTGCTTAAACCGCAGGTGGGGTTACAGGCCGATCTGTGTCCCCAAAGTTCGTGTGTCAGGGCCCTGAGCACAGGACCCCAGGGTAAGGCTGGGCTAGGAGGTGGGTCTCAGAAGCGTGACTGACATAAGAGGGGGTCGCTCGGGTGGCCCCCATCCCACAGGACTGGGGCTGTATAAGAGGAGGAGACGGGGACACACACACACCCAGAGGGACACCCGTGGGAGGACACAGGGAAGACGGCCGTCCCCGCGCCCAGGACAGGGGCCTGCGGGGGGACCAGCCCTGCCCCCGCCTTGGAGCCCTTCAGCAGGTGTAGCTGCCCATGTGTGGTCCCACCCCTGTCCCTCCCAGGAGCCGTGGGCAGGCCCGGCTGGTCTCACCCCTCGGGGACACAGCATGTCCCCAAAGATGTTCTTGATGCAGGTGACCAGGTACTCATGCAGGTCCTGCGTCATGCCCTCGAAGTTCCTGCACGCCAGGATGACCACCTCCTGGGGGTGGCTCTCCAGCCACTCGGAGATCTCTGTGAGCGTGTCCTGGGCAGGGACAGGGGTGTGTGGGCTGACACAGCCTGACACAGCCTGACACAGTAACACAGCCTCACACAGCCACACAACCTGACTCAGCCCAGAAGACGGGGACACCCCCCACCTGTCGAAGCGGCTTCCCAGCGTATGGCTCAGGTGCTGAAGAAGGCAACAGAGAAAGCACGCGCTGCCCTCTGGGGACTCAACTGCCTGAGGGACAGCTGGGCCAATAGCCACGAGTCGGGGAAGAGCTGTGTGCACATGTGCAGTGCATGAATGTGAGGGTTCTTGTGCATGTGTGAATGTGTGCGGTGCATGCACATGCATGCATACAGTGTACTTGTGTGTACTCCCCCCGCCACAGAACTCTGTGTGTGCACACATCAGCTTGGGAAGCTCCAGGGGGCATGTGAGGTCCCGTGGGTGACCTGCACAGTGAGGTCCCGGGGACGGCCCCTCCGAAGTCCAGGGGCCCGCAGCGGGGCCCAGGGGATGGGGGCAGCTGTGCGGCCGACGGTGACCCATCACAGAGTGGCTTGGGAACGCCTGTCCAGCAGCCGACAGGAGACGGGACAGAGGACGTGCACACGGCAGGCAGAAAGGCATCCAGGGGTGCACTTTGCGAAACCCCAGGCTTCCCCGGGGAGCCAGGTGGGGTGGCCAGGGCAGACTCAGGGACACAGGGTGGCCGCGAATTCCAGACAGCGGCGGCCAGAGGTCGGCCACCTCCCGTCCGGACAGCCGTGGGTGCCCATCGCGGCTCGACGCCTCGCTGGCCGCCCGCCCCCTACCTCCACCAGCACGGTCGTGTACATCATGTGCACGAAGTGCAGGTTCTTCTCCGAGCCGTCCTGCATGTGCGCGATCCGCAGGTCCAGGTAGCGCACCCCCGCGTCCAGCTGCTCCGTGACCGTCAGCACCTGCAGACGGCGAAGGCACGTCACCCCTGCTCCCCGCGGCCGCGCTCGCGGGTCAGTGCCCACTGCGGGCTGCCCCGCCCGAGGCCAGATCGCAGCCGAGGCGCCGCCCGCGCCAGGCCTTGCACTTGTCTCCGGGGCACGCGGGCCGTGGCGCGTTCCCGGGGTGGGGCCTGTCCTGGGAAGCGCTGGGCTGGCCCCAGCGCCCAGTGTCCCCTTGGCTCTGGCCGGGACTGGACGGCCCTTCACGGTCCCACCGGGCCCTCCTCCCAGGCACTCACTGGAAGGACCCCCGCCCCCATGGGCCACAGCAGCTCCGGCTGCGGTCCTGGACCCCATCCGGGACTCTCAGAGGTCAGAGCGTGCCCAGGAAAGTCCACTGCAGCGGGGACTCTTCACCCACAAACAGCTCCAGGAAAGGCAAGAAGGCATCCGGAGAGAAGACGAACAGAAGACAAGGCTCCCGCTCTCCACACGGAGTCCCAGCGGGAAAAGGGAGGCTGACGCAGCTCACAGAGCAGTGTGTGGCGCGCCATCCTCACGCGGCGTCATGACGGGGAGGAGAACATGAGTGTGAAGATAGGAAATGGGGCGCAGAATGGCACTTTGCTGCTGTCACAACGGTCATAGAAAAAATAAGAAGTGATATCCACATTTAAAAAAAAAAAAAAAAAGGCCCTGGCTGGCGTGGCTCCGGGGACGGAGCAGCTGCCTGCGAACCAAAGGGTCGCCGGTTCGATTCCCAGTCCGGGCACAGGCCTGGGTTGCGGGCCAGGTCCCCAGCAGGGGGCGCGTGAGAGGCAACCACATATGGATGTTACCCGTTCTTCCTCTCTCCCTCCCTGTCTCTCTAAAAATAAAGAAATAAAATCTTAATTTTTTAAAATTCTAAATATACATAAAAAGAAAATAGTACTTGCCTCTGTAGAAAAAATAATGGAAAAAGCAAAAAATACATATATGAAAAGAAGAAAATACTAAGACCTCTACACAATAGAAAAAACTAAGAAATGGTTACCATAAAAAATGCTAATGTGCTCTGTACACAAAATAAGAGGGAAAAGCGTAGAATTAATGTGAAAATGCGGTTTGCAGCCTGTGTGGCCGTGCGGGGAGCTGGGGTTTCGGCTCCGCGATCCCGCGGCTCTGCCGACGGAGGCCCCTGCGCGCGGGCCGAGGCCGCGGTGTGTGCAAAGGCCTCGGTGGGTGTCGTTCAAGCCCCGAAGTCCCAGAGGCACGGGCGTCCTGTGCGGGCGAAGCAGCAGTGCAGCTGCGCCCCTGGCAGCGACCACCCGCCTAAGGAGCAGCGCGCGGAGGTCCCGCGTCGGCCTGGGACCCCCGGCTGCCGGCGGAGAACTCCCTCGCCGCGGGGCGATGGATCCGCTCCGTCTCCCCCCCGGCGTCTGAGCCGCGAAATCACAGCGGCGCCCGCCCCTCCCCGGCTTGTATCCCTGCGAACGCTCCCCGGGAAGCGCCTGCTGACGACACCAGACACCCCCAGGACACCCCGCAGGTTCCCAACCACCCTGCCCGGCCCCGCCGCGCCCTTCCTCCCTCCGGGGCTGCGCGGTGAGTGTCCTGGCTCCAGGGCCTCTGGCGTCTGACGGAGCCAGGAATGCGGCTTCCCCACGTTCCACTGGGGCTCCCTGCCCGGCGCGTGGGCCGCCCGCCTGCCCTGGGGGAGTGAACCTCAGAGCAAAGCCAATTGCAGAGGACGGAGCCCCGGGTGGAGGGGACGGCCCCCGCCCGCCCGTCCAGCAAGCGCGGCTGCAGGGAGGGAGCCGGAACGGCGCAGCGGGAAGAAGGCCGCTGGCTGGGCCATCACACGCCCTCCGCCAGGGCCGCAGCCCCCTGGGCGCCGCACCCACAGCCAGCCCTTCCTCTCCCCGGCCGCCGGGGTCCACTCCTCCCGGCGACTCGCGGTCCCTGAAATCTCCAAGGGTGTGCGCGGGGGCGGGGCGGGGGCCGCACAGACGCGGGGCTCGAGGAATCCCTGCAAGAGCGACCCGCGGCCTCAGCGGCCAGGCCGCTCTCCCAGGCAGTCACACGAGGGCACGTGTCAGGGCAGCTCTTGGCATGTGCACGTGCGCGGAAATCCCCGCGAGGAGCCTCTGGCCGCCCCCCACCCCCCGCGCCGCGGAGAAGCCAGGGCTTTTACCCGCAGGACCCGGTGGGCCGGGTCTCGCCCAGGGGCCTGCAGGCCCGACGCCGCCGGCACCGCGACCTCCAGCGCAGCCTGCACCGCGCGCCCGTCGCGCCCGCTTCGAGGCTGATTCGGCAGCAAACCGCGTCTGTCTGCGGCCGCCGCGGGTGTCGCCGGGGCAGCGGGAGCTGCGTTTTCCGCTTCCGCCCCTGAGGGTGAGGGCCGCGGCCGCCAGGGGGACGCTGCTCGGGCGAGCCCGGCCGCGATGCTCACCTGGGTGACCGACCACTTGAGCACCACGGGCTGCGTGAGGCAGGGCAGCAGCCGGCCCAGCAGCTGCAGCAGCCGGGACTCTGTCTTCGAGATGGGGCACTTCTTGTTCAGGCTGTAGGTCATCGTGTCGTGGCTGCCTGCCGTGAAACCGGGGCCACACGGCCGTGAGCCCTCCCCGCCCCGTGCTTGCAGCCGCAGGGGGACAGGGGGACATGCCAAGAACACGCCAACGGCGGCCCCGAGGCCACACCCTCCCAGAGCCCGCTGCGAAGACCTGTATGGACACAGGGCCTTTGCAGACGGGAAGAGTGAAGGATCTGGGAGGCGTCCTGAGTCAGGGGGCCCTACATCCCAGGACAGGGTCCTGAGAAGAGACAGAAGAGGAGACGCAGACCCCGAGGAGATGCCCCGTGGAGATGGAGGCAGAGAGGGAGGGGCGCGGCCACCGCCCAGGGACGCCTGGGGCCCCCGGACCTGGCAGAGGCGGGAAGGGCCCTCCCTGGAGCCGGGGGAGGGAGTGCGGCCCCGGGGCACCCTGAGCAGCCGTCTCGCAGCCGCATGTGCACCCCCTCCCGATCCCCCACGGACAGGCAGGTGCTCACCTGGGATGGCCAGCTGGTGCAGCGGGAGGTCCCAGAGCCGCGGGCAGAGCGCTGCCATCCAGTCTGCGTTGGCATCATTGGCCCGGCAGCCCAGGCTTGGGAAGCCGCGAGGCGCACTCACCTGCCCGGCCATCGGGGGGTGCCGGTGCACTGGGAGGGACAGCAGGTCAGGCAGAGTGAAACCCGGGGCAGAGCCAACGCTCTTTTCACTGCAGGGAGGCAGCGGCTTTAGGAGAACAAAGCCAGGCTTCTCCAGCGGGTGGTTTCAGGGGCTGAGAGGGGAGGGGAGATGGGGAGAGTTCCTGAGGGGCGGACAGACAGGCACAGAGAGAGACAGAGACACAGACACAGAGACAGGGACGGACCAAAACACCCCAGACCGACGGAGGGACAGACAGAGACAGGCAGGCGCAAGAGAGAGACAACGTGAGACAGAGAGGGAGGCAGGGGCACAGCGATGGAGAGACAGACGGACAGACAGGCGCAGAAGGACTCAGGAGCCCCGGCGCCGTTTTCCCGGGGGAGGGGGGGCCCTCACCGTCCCGGCCCAAGAACGCCCCTAGGACCGTGGGGCGGCGGCACAGCGCTGGGGCTTCCCTCCTGGGGGCGCGACGAGGCCGGCACCTCTAGCAGCGCCGAGACGGAAGCGCGGACTCCACGCGTGAAAGGCTCGGGGACTGAGCCGGCGCCGCAGAAGGGAGTGGGGCTGGGGCGCCGGAGTGGACACGAGGTCGGGGGTCCGCGGGTCTGGGCGGCAGCGGACGGGAGAGCGAACTGCTTCTCAGGACGAGCAGCCGAGGTCAGACGTTCCTGAGGGGGCACAGCACTCAGGACGCGCCCACTGGTCTGTGGGGACTCTCGCGGCGCACCCCGTCCCCCTGGCAGGCGTAGGGCCCGCACGTCCGTGGTTTCGCGGGACCTGCAAGGTCAGCCGTGTCCCCAGTCTCGCGGAGCTGCCCCGCGAGAGACAACGGAGCCTTCGCGGCCCTGGGCGCGCCTGCGGGTGGGGACGCCGGGGACACACTCAGAACATAGTTGGCAGGTGAATAAACGGAAGGATGAGCCGCGGCCGCCGGCGCGCGGCATCCCTGGACCGCGGTCGCCGGGCTCCCCGGCCCTCGGCGCCCCGCAGCCCCGCGGCCGAGGGACCCTCGCCACCGCGTCCTCCCTCCCGGCAGACCGAGGTCACGGCCCCGGAGCCCCGTCCCCGTCCCGAGGGCCCAGCAGCTCCGAGCCCGGCGAGTTCCCGCCCCGGCCCGGTCCGTGCTGGGTCGGGTCGGCGACGGGACAGCGGACCACGCGGGGCCACGCCGCGCCCGGCCGTCTCCCTGCGGGAACTCAGGCCCCCAGACGAGCGACACCCACCTCCGCGGCGCCTCGGTCCCTCAGTACGGCGTCCGCTGCGGGTTCCGTGCCCGATGCTGTCGCCGCCGTCACTCGGCGCTTCCGAGAGCAGCTGCCCGCTCATTGGGCCGCGCTGGGCCCGCCCAGGGGGAGGGGTCGGGGGAGGGGCCGCAGCCGGCAGGCGACTCCACCCAGGCCGGGGGCGGGCAGCGGCGCCCCGAGTCCAGAGCAGGGCCCCGCTGTGGGGACAGCCCTGCGGGCTGAAGGGGGTCCCGGCCTCACAGCCCTCAGACCCTCACGGAGACGTCGGGACCCCCGACCGTCGCCCCGAGCGGGGCCGGCAGTCAGAGGACTCGACAGGGGCGTGGCCGGGGGGTCACCACAGGTCAGTGGTCAGAGGACGTGATCTGACGGCTGGACCCCCTCTGACCGCTGCGCCCCCCGCCCCGCCCGCGGTCCCTCTGGGCCCCAGGCCAAAGCAAACCTGACCTCGGACAGACCTCCGGTTGCATCATGCCCGCGGGCCAGGCCTGTGATCTCGGGCCAAGTGGCCGCGTCCCTTCCTCGAGCGTCCGGCCCTCGTAGCCCGAGTGGCCCTTGGCGCAGGCCCCACCGGAGCGTGTCTCCGGAGAGAGCTAGTGCATTTCCAGGACGAGGCCGCCCCGCGGGCTTCTCAGCCCCTCCCTGAGGCGACCGGCCGCAGGCTGGGGCCCTCGCCCTCCTCCCTCCCCTCGTGACTCGGTGGGAGGCCCATTCAGCAAAGGGCCTCGTGCCCCTGCCCCGGCCGGTGCCTGTCGAGAGAGGGCAGAGCCCCGGGGGCTGACAACAGCGGAGGAACCCCCACAGGAGGCTCAGGGCGGGGGCGGGGGGGGGGGGGGGGGGTTGGGGATGCAATTCTTTCTCTAATCCTCTGAGCTGGGGCGCGGGGCTCCTTCCGGGCTCCCAGGCACTGTTCCAGGTGCCGGCTCCCAACGCAGCCCCCACCCCCCACCTCCAGTGTTTGAAGAGAAAATAGTGAGATTTCCACTCCAAAGACATGCAAACTCGATGATCCCAAGCCGAGAAAGGACAGCCCACTTACAGAAACCCTGCTAAGCTGGGTGAACTCCAAAGCAAATGGGAAGATGTTAAACACAGCAAAAGATAAAGATAATTATTCAACGAGTCAAACCCACGTTGGCAGCTGTCTCGCTGGCGTAAACGGGGAGGACAGGGCCGCGGGAGGCACGGACTTTGAGGCCCTGAGACCTGCACATGGGGGACTCCGCGAAGCAACGCCAGCCGGGGAGGCGGAGGTGCCGCTGGACCGGGCGCCCAGAGCTCGGGGCGCAGCCGGTCCGCTGTGGCTGCGGCCAGTCCGACCCCAGCAGGCGGGCGGTGGGGTCCGGTTCCGCGCAAAGAGCTGAGTCTGGGCTCCTGTCAGGACTGGGTTTAGGGTTGGGGCCAAGGAGTCGCTACAGGAGGACACAAGGCGTAGGACTGGGCTTAGGCTCCATTTCAGAGGTCACAGGCTTCGACTCTGAGGTCAGTGCCTGGGGTTTGCGGTCAGGGAAGTGGAATAGGTGGCTGACGGCCAGGGCGTAGGGTCAGGGTTAGGTTTTAATTTAGCGTTAGAGAGTCTGAAGGCAGCGTGAGCGCTAGGGCTGGGCGCCAGGGGATGGAGTTAGGGTTTGGGGTCAGGGATTAGGGTCCGGATGGGGCAGGGGTCAAGATCGAGTCCAAGGGCCAGGACCTGGGTTAGGCTCAGAGCTAGGGATTTAGAGTCCGGAGCAGAGGTTAAGGGTTAGGGGTTCGGGTTCGGGTAGGGGTCAGGGTTAGGGCGGTGTGAGGAGAGGTGAGAGGGGCGGGCCTTGAGAACAGAGGGGAGGAGCCCGCCTGACGCCCATCGAGCGCAGACGTGGGTGGTGGCATCCCAACGGCCCACCCGAACCCAGTGAGCACCCACTGGGATGTGTCTCTGCCAGGCCCCCGATGCCACCGGACCCTGGGCAGGCGAGGGCCTCAGGCCAGTGCCACCACGTGTGGCCTCGGTGCACGTGCTCGCTCCCAGAAGAACCGCAGTTCCAGGAAAGTCTCACGTACACAAACGCCCAGCGTCAGCGTGAAGGGCCCTTCCCCCATCTCTTGGCCCCCACTGTTCCGAGTGGCGGCATGTGCCCTGCACACGAGGGCTCAGGGCGGTGCGCCCCGCACGGGCACTTCCACAGAGGGTGGCGCAGGCCCCAGCGAGGACAGCAGGGCGGCCTCGGCATGGCCCCGGCCCTCAGGCCCCCTTGCCTTCCATAGCCTGCCCCCCGGGGTGCGAAGTGCGGCTGCTCCAGCCTGGCCAGCCCTCCCGCAACCGTCCCCGAGGCCGAGCGCCATCCTCACACCGGGGTGGATTCACAGGGCGCAGACGACCCCGACCTGGGCACCCCCAGCGCGTCCTCCTGTGCGGACCGGGCGCTGCGTTCCCGCGGGGACACCTGGCCCGATGCTGGGACCCCTGGGGCCTCCCACGCGCAGCATCCCCTGCATTTGCAACGGGCCACCGCCCAGTTCCCGAACCTCTCTCCACCCCCCGGGAGACCCCTGCCACTCAGCTGCCGCTGCTCCTTCCCCTCCCCAGCCGCTGACCACCGCGCCCGTCTGTGTGGATCTGCGCCTCCGGGACTTCATGTAAATGGAGCCCTACTGTGTGTGTGCGCGCGCGCTGCTGTGCCCAGCGCCTCTCGCCTGCTGCCACCTAGCCAGTGAGTAACACCTGAGTGTGTGTCGTCCAAAAAACTCACTCTTCTCCGCTGCAGTCGAGGGTGCGACCTGTAAATGCACCTGAGCGGAGCGCGGGAGGAAACGCTCTCATCTGCTGCCATCTAGCGTTGAACTTGGGAATGACACCCGAGTGCCGGCCGCAGAGACAGCGCCTCGCTGGCCAGCTGGTGGGCTGACCCGGAATGACTCCTCCTCCCCACAGGGCGCTGCCGTACCCCGCCCCGCCCTCCAGGCCTGCTGGGGAGCTAACACAGGGGGTCCACACCTCCCGAGGGGATGGTTTTCCTCGAGAGCCCCAACCGCGTGGCCTTCCCGCCTGGATCACGGGTTACACCGGTTCCCTGACACCGGTTCCCGGCGAGCCGGCCACCCCGGGCCCCGGGCCGCCGGCAGCGAGCCCGCTAAAGACCTGCGTCAGCAGGGGCGCTGCGGTTCCCCGAGGCTGGCGGCGCCAGGACGGCCCTGTGACACCGCCGGTCCGCGGCGCGCGGGGCGATGATCTGACACAGAAACGTGCCCCACCGGCGCCCCAGGGAGGCCGCGGGCACCGCGGTGCCCTCACACCGCGCGCGCTTTCCTGAGGGGGCGGCGCTCGAGACCCACTCCCGTACTGGCCTTCCGGGGAGCTCACGGTGTCGTTAACCGTGGTCACCACGCAGCGCCCACTCGCGGGGCCCTGGGAGTCTGTCGCCGTCACGGGCCTCGCCCTCCGCGCCCCGGGGCCACACGGTCTGCTCCTGTGGGTTTGCATTTCCCGCTGCCACATGTAGGTGACATCGAGGTCACGCACTGCGAGTCCTCCTCTGGCCCATGCACCTGGCCCACGCCCTCGGGGCCACCTGGATGTCCCCCTCCTCGGGGCTGAACTCAAGCGGCGACCTGCGTTCGGCCGTCTTTTCACCTTATTGTCCCATTTCTATTCCACCACCCGATCTCCCACCTCAGAAATGCCCCCCATTACATTGTTCACTTCTTCACAACGTGCCCTCTTAGGAACGCGTGTGAGCCGTTGTCTATACTTGTCCCTCAGCTGACACGAGCGCGTGGCAGCCCCCGGGGAGGCCGCGGGTCCTCCCTGCTCGGCAGGGCTTGCACCTCCCCCTCCTGGAAGTTCTCCCTCCCCGGATGCCACGCCCACGGAACTTTCCCCTCTGCCCGCCCCCCACCGCGGCTGCGCCTCCCGTTCCAGACCCCAGGCGGCCCAACACCCCCACGCACACACTAGACACTGTTGGTCCAGATTTGATTCTCTCTCATTTAAAGTAAAGACCCATCTCTCTTGCCCTGTCCGGTGTGGCTCAGCCGGTTGGGCATCACCCAGCGAAAGGAAAGGTCGCCTGTTGGAGCTCCAGTCAGGGCACCGGCCTGGCTGCTGGGTTGGTCCCCTGTCAGGGCGTCCACGGGAGGCGCGCGGATCGACGTGTCTCTCCAGGTGGTGGCAGCTTCGCCCCATACACCCCGGTCGCAGATTCGATCTGCACTCAGGACACCTGTGAGAAACACCAGTAGATGCATAAATAAGGGGAACAACAAAATCAGTATTTTTCTCCCCCCCCAAATCAATCAATCAAATCTTAACATAGAAGAGCATCTCTTGGCAGCCTGATCTGTCCTCCAGCGCCGTGGCTGCAGGTGTTACTTCTGCTCAGCTGGCTTCTGCCTTGGAGCACCTGCTCTTACATCTTTATTACCGTTTGTGTCCACACCACACCTGGTCCTGGGCTATTTTCTTTTGCATGGACCACTGGAACCCAAACTGCTGGTGTCCCAGCTGAGTCAATTCTCTCCTCTTTAAGTGTATCAGTCGGTGGCTTGGGAGGTCACAGAAAAGAAGCTGTGTTGGTGGAAGTTTTAGTCGACTTCCCTTTTTCCTTTCACAATGGCCATCTGACCGCCTACCATCCCCGGGGCTTTTGGTTTGCTTTCTGCCTATTGAAGGGGATGATTGGTCAATGTTCCTTTGTGTTCAGTATTTCTCGCCATCCCATGCCAGCCACCAGCCCCTGGCCTATTGGAGCCCCTCTCGGTTCCGACCCCAGCGTCGGATCAGAGGAGACGGGACGCCCTGGGCCTGGCTCTCCCGCCGGGGCCCCGGCCGCGGGGGTGCAGTGCACGGCCTGAGACCACCCGCCCATCGGATCTCAGGGCTGAGTGGCCTTGTGCCACCTGGAAGGGTGTGGACGGTCCCCCATGGGCCCCGAGCTGCTGCCCAGGCTCACGCTGTCCAGGGTCGGCCCGGGTGACGCAGGCAGAGGCCGGAGAGGGCGGAGGACAGCGCGCAGTGTGCCCTGCGGGCGCGTGCTGTGGGCAGAGGGACGG